TATTATTATTATTATTATTATTATTATTATTATTATTATCATTATTACTACTACTACTATTACTATTATTATTATTATTATTTATATTATTATTATTATTATTATTATTATTATTATTATTATTTTTGTTTCTAGAATGTAATAAAAACATGCGTTTTTACATTGGTTGCACCCAACATGCACTGAATGCAACTTCTTCGGTTTGATGACCCGTCTAAATGCTGTTACATTGTTGTATATTATATTTAAAAGAAAAACGAAAAAAAAGAAAAAGAAAAAAAAAGCATTCGAAAATTTGTATTTATTGCAATGAGTACGACCAATGAGTACGAATTTTCTCTGCCTTCGTTAGTTTTCAACTGTCCTGCGTAAAAAAAAGTTCACCAGTAAATTTTGTTGATCATCATTGAAATGTTATATATATATATATATACATTACATTTACACATATGTACATATACATAAATCTATACATGTGTATAAGTATTAGTGTGTAGAAAGACGTTTCTATCATTTGTACAACAAACGATGATTATTATCATTATTTTATTATCACTACTATTATTATTACTATTAGTATTAATGGAAAGGATCTGTTGATAGCGTGTATTTCAAATTTTCGCGCGCATTTTGCTGAGACTTCAGATCAATAACTTTCCCTTCTCTAAAATATATTAAAAATCTCGGATTTTATTTCATTGATCATTATTCATTATTTATCCCGGAAGACAAGGAACTTCAAAGAATGTACATTATCTTGAAAATATAACTATTTTTCTAGTTATTACACTATGTAGAAATACGAATTTCGCGGGTCGGACATTATTGTTTTTTTATAAAACGCGGTAGAGCGTAAAAGGAATCATCGTAATTAGTAAAACGAAATTATACTATATCGATTATGTCAATCGAGCAATATATCAGTGTTGCTTCTTTATTTCTTTTTTTTTTTTTTTGTAAATATAGCGACAATAAAAGATATCATTAAAGAAAGAAAAAAAAAAAAGAAAAGCAAGTGCGAAGCGAACCAATTAACAGCAGAGGTTAGAAGAAGAAGAAAGAAGAACGAGAAGAGCATGATTACGAAATAAATTAGACTGATTATTTTCTTGATTTTATTAGTAATAAATGTTAACAAGAGCGTATTGCGAAGCTTGAAAGAAAACAAATGCAATCACTCGTTAACTTTTTTTTGAAAGAACGAAATGTTTTTTTTGTCTCTTTTCTTTTTCTCTTTTTTTTTGTACAGGCAAGAGAAATATGTTCTTATTTTTGTGATTCAGTATTGGAAAAATTTGTAATTGTGTTTTCTTATGATATACGTGATATTAAATAAGAGTGTATGAATTAGAGCGTATAAAAAGAAATAATTGAAATTTTGCATTGTGTGAAATATATATATATATATATGAAAAAAGAGGAAAGAAGCAAAAGATGAAATTTATGTTTAAAAATTTTTTTTACATTATCGTCTTTTGCGAACTCGAGTTACGAGAAAATGAACGAATAATTGTTAAAATAATTTTCTGCCATGCCTTCAATTATCTGATGTCGATGTTATTTGATTGCTTGGCATTAAATGATATCACTTGCGCTACAAAGTTGAGAAGATCACTTGTTTTTTTTATTGGTCCCTTATTATCATCACATTTTGATGTTTCATTTGACAAATATTTTTAAATTGTTTTCATTTTTTTTATTCTTTTTACAAATCATATTTGATTATGATAAAATTATTATCGAATTATTTAAAATTAATTGCAAAAAAATCTTTATTCTAACTTTTACATTAAAAATTATAATTTTAATCAATTCTTGTTGTAGATTTTAGGATTTTTTTTTTAATAATAATTTTTACTGGCTATTGTTCTTTAATAATAGAAATTCTTTAATAGATATTATAACGTTACAAATGTTTGTTAGTAAATAGAATATGGAAGGCTAAATGTAACGTTTTTCTTTCTGTCTCGAGATACAAAGAACGGTTAAGTGTTATAACATATATTGAAACAGCTTCAGAAGGTCAAAAAAAAAATATACATGGAACTGTTTCGACTGTCTTTAGACAGTCAGGAAAAGATACAAATATGGAATCGACGAACTCTACCATGGATTTGGCTTATAGTTGTGAGTATTAAGGACTTGTATCAAAAAAATTAAAAAAAATTATTACAACATTTAAATCAAAAAGTGATAATATTTTTTTTTTAAATAAAATAGTATTATTATTCTATTCAGTTTATAGTGAAAGCTCAAATTCTTCAATAAGTTTAAACAAAGCGATGCTTATGTCAGTCGATGATAATACGTTAAATTCTAACAATAATAGTTGTTATCATTCGTATGTCGAAGAACAAAATGAAACGTTATTTGAACACACCGATAGCACAAGTTTAAAACCTTTATCCAATTTTACGATTAATTCGAACTCGGAACAAGAAAATTCAGATAATTTGGAAGATACACAACATACAAATATCGAAGAAGAGAATCATGAAGGATATATCCCATTAAGAACGTTGTTAAGAAACATGTTTGAGGAAATTTTAGGAAAGTATAATGGAATCACAAGACAGTCAAATGTAAGTTCGATTAACAGAAGTTCAAACAGTGACAATTCAATGGATAATTGGGACAATGCAGATGAAGTAAATAATAATCTTTTAATTTGTCAAACACAAAAATCTAATAATATTGTTATAACTACTATCGATAATGTAAAAGATCCTGATAAAATTATTGGTTTATCTTCACAGCATATATTAGATTCTAGAAGCATAAATACAATATTAGAAAATTCCAATGAAAGTTCTAGTAATTCACAGATAAATGATAGTTCTAAATGGTCTGGAAGATTAATAGACAAATTGAGAAATTTCACTTCTCACAGAAGAGAAAAAAAATATAGAAATCATATATTTATTACCAGTGATATAAGCAATGAAAGTATATCTTCGAGCATATCAGGTGATGTTAAAAAAGTAACCGAAGAAATTTTTCAAAAGGCAAATAATTTATCAATGGATGATTCTTTAAAATTAAAAAGTAATAATGCAACACCAAATAATGAAAAAGTAAAATCTCCAATAAAAAAAAAACGGAGAAGTGTATCTTTACCGAAATATATGGAAGGTTAGAATTATTATGATAAATGTATTTACATCATTATTTTTATGATTATAATTTTTATTATATGATTATAATTCTTCTTTAGATGAAAATACTGAACGACAAAATGAGAAAATATTAATTAATAATTCACAAAAGAGTTATACACCACCCTATATAAGAAATAGATCAAATTATATAAGTACATCACCGATTAAACCAGTAAAATACTTAAGGCAATATTTTGCGAATTTAGATAATAAAAATAATAAAAGTAAGTAATTTTAATAAATAGATTTTAAATAATAAATTTTTAATAGGAAATTTATATCTTATCATAAAAATTAATGCAATAACAATTTATTATTAATACGTATCTAATTTTTTTTGTTAGAAAATATAAAGCGGTCGCCAAAGCTAAATAAATATATAAGAAGACACAGAATACCTTATATACGTGTAATACCTGCTACACCAAAATAAATTATGAATATATATAAGTGGAATTTATTTTAACGTAGTAAGAATTATGCATATATTATTACTGCTTAAATTAACATATGTATTAATACACATATGTATTAATAATTTATTTTAAAAACAAGAAAGTTCTTAAAAAAAAGCTATAACATATTTTTAATTGTGATTAAGAATATGTTATTATATTTATATTTTATATTTATATTTCTTTCTTTATTTAATTTATTATTTTATATTTATATTTATTTATTTTATTTATATTTATATTAATTTATGAAAAGATATTTTATATTTATTATATTTAATATAAAGATATTTTTAACTATAATTAAGAATATATTTATATTCCTTCATAAAATCATTAATGTATATCTTTTCATAAAAAAGTAAAAGAAAATTTTTTAAATGAATTGTTAGATTATTAAGTTCTAAATAAATTGTTATAAATTATATGGAAATAGATAAATTCGTAATCATTCTTTGCACAATAATTAAAAAGTACCCTAAAATATATATGCATAATATTAAATGTGTTCAATTCATCCTATATTTTATATTCGTGCATCAAGATCAAAATAAAAAAATCAAAAAATGAGAGAAGGACAGAAATAAGTTAAAAATTGTAGAATCAATGCCAGTGTCGCAGATGAAACAAAATAAAAAGAATAAATGATAAGAAAAGAATAAAGATAAATAAAAATTGATCGTTAACGCCATCTATTGTCAATGATATCTCTCTAAGAACAACTTAAAATAGAATAACAATTGAAAACAAACGCTATCTTTTTAATATCAAAAAGATTCTGCAAAAATACTCAAAAGATAATGCAGATCATCAATTTCTATTCTTTATTTCTAAAGAAATATTTTTTATAATCAATAGATGGCGTTGAACATCAATTCTTATTCTATTTCTAACGTCCCACTATTTGCTTTTCTTATCTACGTGTTTGTTTCATCAGTGGCATTCTGAAGATGGCGTTGATTTAACAAATTTTATTCTATCTTTATTTTTATCCTTCTTACACTAATTGTATTTCTGTTGCATATTTATTTTGCAAAATTTATGTAGTCAATAGATGACTCTGATACCCAATTAACTTTATTTTTCTTTATTAACTAATTAACTTTATTAACTTATTAACTAACCTTATTAACTAATTAAAAAATAGAATGATTTCTAAAAATTTCTATTCGAGTTCTGTTTAACGAAATAATTTATCAAAAATCATTTATCGATTATCGATTAATTAATCTATTTTGTGCAGAATTAATGATAATTAAAATTAAATTAGATTATAATACATAAAATATATTTTTATTAAATATATATGACTGGAATATTTATATATATAATAAAATAATATATAAATAGTATATAAAAATATAAGAAAAAATATATATAACGAAAATTGTATATTTTAATCGTACTATATTTCGAATAATTCTAGTAAATAATTAAATTTAGATACAATAAGTTCAGGTTAGAAATTACTGGTCAATTTACGACGACAGAGACATCGAGTTAATTGGTAAAAAGGCGATTGACCCGAGGTAGACAGAGAGACAGAGGTCACCATCCTTCGAAACAACACATCCTTCAGTGACTTCCGGTGTGCCGCGTATGTTTATGAATCATTTTGATATTTCTATATCAATGTTCTTACTCGTCTTTTTATTTGTTTTTACGTAAGTTTCACACGCAACAAATAATTTATTCGCATATTGAAATAATGGAATTTCCAGCTAAAATTTTTGACTTATATATACTGTTGTGACCAAACTTCGGCAAATTTATATATATATATATATTTCTAAATAAAAATGAAGAAATGAAATTTAAAATGAAAATTTAACTCATTCCAAATATACTCCATTAATATATTTTTTGGATAATTGATAATAAAAGATATTATTAATAGGTTAACCAGCCCATAAATGATTTTTGAAAGACCTTGTAATTCATGAGGAATCTATGATGGACGATCCCTGCCAATGTATCGTCTGGTGTCAAGTACTCATTGCAAAAAATGATCATCCTACTGAAACATCCTACAAATGTCCATCTTATCGTGAAGAAACAGTTATGCGAAATAAAACGCTAAGAATGCTATGTAAGTAATTTTATCCTTATAAAAGTTGTAGTACATAGTAACAAAAAATAAAATATGAAATTGTTCTTATTACATTTTTCATTAAAAATATATTATTTCAAATCTAAATTCTTTAGATTCTTCGTATCGACTTATCTTCATTCTGCTACAATAACCAACAAAAACATAGTTATAAAAACATAAGATATTCGACTAAAATGTTATTATTAAGAGATAAATATATTTTTTGTCTATTCTATAATATGTTTCATATAACCTGGATAAAATAGAAAATAGAAAATAGAAAAAAATATATACTTTAGAAAAAAAATTAGTTTCAATTATGACATAATACACAAAACTCATTTTAAATTTAGGTTAGGTTTAATATTCCATCGATTTTCACATATTATCATTAATAATAACATTCGAATAATGATATAACCTCAAAATTACAACTTTTTTTTCTAATTTTAAATTTCATACGTATTATAATAAGTACTTTTCATATTATTCTATAGATTATTCTCATATTTCCATTTTTTCTCTTATATTCGTATGCAATTCTATCTTTCTCTTATAACAAAAGTTATATTATATATATTATCTGTTGCGTTAATATTTCCATACGTTTTCTAGCTAAATACGTAATTTCTCATCAACTACTTCATTTAACAAAAAGCAATTTTATAATTCATATTGGAGAAGTGTCGAGTTAGCGCCAGAATTTGCCGTGGTTCCGGTGTTGTATTTCCTGAGGACACCCACTTGTCTTTGGCAGGATGAACTCATCGCGTATATCTCTTGTTCTAACGCACTTTTATCTTGCGGGAAATGGCTGGTCGTTGGCCCACGTTATTCTTCTCAGATATTGATATTGATATAATGTCCCTGTGTTGTGTATATCGTAGTTAATCATTGTTCATATAGTTGTTTTTTTCATTTTCTTTTTTTCTTCTTTTTTTTAATTATCTTTATTTAATTATTAATTTAATTAAATATCTATCTTTTTTCAACATCCGAATCAATTTATATATATAATGAATAATTTTCTATTATATGCAATAAATTATATTTTAGGATATATATATTATGTGGATTTTTATAGTTTTATAAAGTATATTTATTTATAAATTTATATATTTTTGATAAAGGCAATTTTTGTATTAAATTAATATAGCTATTTGTGCATAGTAAACAAATGACATAATCTCATTTAAGATTACATAGACGTAACCTCATTTACAAATTTCGTGCTTTCGTATAAAAATTAATATGATCTATTGATATTTACTATTGCAAATTACCAATTTTTGTTGATCAACTTTATATTTATGAATTATATCAAGATTGAAATATATTTAAATTATTGAACTTGTTTTAATCATAATTGTAATACTATGATAAGATTAAAAATATATAATGTAATTTCAAAAAATTCAAATAAATAATCCCAATACAAATTTATTAACAAATTAATAACATAAAAATTGTTAATTCAATATTTATATATTCGTTCTTTTTTAATAATATTTTTATTTTATTTTAATAATTTTATTTTAGAACAAAATAGATACAATAATTGTAAATTTTTTTTAATTTATCAACTTACAAAAAATAAGACAATAGATAATATATATTCTCTATTTTTATAAAAAATTAATATTATTCTTAAAGTGATTTTTGCAGTGGATTTCCATTAGCTTGTAAAATACGAAACTATTCAAGGTTTCAACCAAGGCTCTAAATTTTGAAAGTAAAAGAAGGTAATTTGATGAAAAGTTTGCAAGAATCATTGCTATGTGTGGGTGTTTCGAATGTGTAAAGACAGGGTCGAACATGGATAATTGATATCCATGGTTTTTTAGTGGTCAATTAAATGGAACATTTTTAGTTTTCTTTATAATGCTATTCACTGCTCCTTGAATTTATAAATAGAAACGGGAGCAGTTGAAACATAGTGGGTATTTTCAGTTGAATGAATAACACAAGAAATGGAATAAGTTACAATAAAATGAACATTTATTTATTTAAAAAAAATTGATAATAATAATTATTTTATGAATCTATAAAATTATTTCAAAAATTTTAAAAATTAATCTGAATATCAGTAATAAATGAATTGTAATATTATTTTTTTACATATATTGAACAAATTTATTTGCTTTAAATCTAAATAGAACATTAATAATAAAATGAGTTATTAGTTATTATTGTTTCAAAAATTTTGTTTAATTCATCTTTGAAGAATTTAAAAAAATTTTTTAAATCTTGATATAAAATATAAAAGCTTTATTTATATATGTACAGAATTGAGATTATGAATTGTGACATTTGTATATTGCAAATATATCCACAATTATACATATATTCAAAGTATAAGCAGGCAGAAAAGAAGGTCTACATTATGTTCAAATATTCATGTGTAAAATATATATATATATATATATATATTTTGCAATTCTTTTAAAATAAGCTAGGATTTCGTCATCGAATTTCTATGGTGATCAGATCACGATTATATTAGGAATGTAGATGATGAACAAAATATTTGTTATGCTTGATTTTTTCAACTAAGGTTTACTTTAACAAATATTAATTCAAATTAAAAATATTAAAATCAAAAATGAAAATCAAATTTTTTATAAAAATAAATAATATTTATTAATATATTTATTAATATGTGAAATCTAATATATTTTTAATGAAGATTATATTTCATAAGATTATAAAATTGAAAATTAAATATTGTGTCATTCTAACAAAAATTGTTATTTCTCTTTTTTATCAAAGATGTACATTTTAATTATTATTAAAGATAGACAATATTAATAAAATAGAAAATAATAGCCTTCATTAAACCTTAGTGATAAAATAATAATAATAATATGACAAATATTAATAAAATAACAATAAAATTTATTGCATGACACATTGAAATATAGAACACATAAGGATATAATGTAGCTTCTGAAGAGAGACAACAAGCGTGGTAGGGATATATCAGTGTTTCCCAACCTTTTTTGATTCATGCTCCATTTCAATATCTCAAAAATTTGTATGCTTGTTTTAACAATAATTCATTAAGTTCTGAAAAGTATAACTTAAATATTCTGCCCTGCTTAATTAAAATATCCAACTTCATTATTTATCATTTTTTTATATTTTAAAATATATCAAAATATTTGCTCTACACGTTCTTTAATTTTTAAATGAAGTTACAAATTTCTTTATAATGATCTATAATCTGGTCTAATTTATTTTTCCTAAAAATGACGTAAAGAAAATTGTAAAATTTTAAATTTCTTCTATGTTTTGAAATATTAGATATTACATTTAAACCAAGCGGTATTTAATTTTAATTAATTGTTTCTCTAAAATATCGAGATGGCCCCTCTGTGGCTTACTCCCCACGTTGGGAAACACTGGAATACATGGTGGGTCGAAAGTTGAAGGAAAGTAGCGCCAGTCGCCCGCGGTACACCGTACGCGTGAGGGCTGTCCGCGTCGTCTTTCTTCACGGTGTATAAACACTGCCATTCGTTTTACTCACAACTGTCACAACCGATTAAGTGTGATCGTGAACGTGACCGGTATTCATGATAATCCGGTAAGAGTCGTTATATTCTACGATAAAAGTATATGTTGCGAATTTTTATGGTTAGAAATGCGCGATTCTTGATCGAAATACCATCAGAACGTACGAGACAAAGATCGTTGTTTCACGATATCTTTATACGCGACACGGTGACGATGGTTAGTGTCGTTCGAACTATATTGTGAATTTCACCGTGTGTTTCGACGATGGATTTTATTCGAACGTGACTTTATTTCCTCTTGTTCAATATACGTGATTGTGAGAAACTACTATAGTGTATTCACGTGTATGCACTGAACCGTAGAAGTGGCTTTCTAATGTCTGATAAATTGTTGCCGAAATAAATTAAATTTGTTTAGTCTCAAAAGATTTCTTGTTTAAATGGGACTTGAATGTGTTCGATCTCTATATCTGTGTTTTTTTTCTTCCTTTTTTTATGCCAGACATTACTCGAGCCTCCCTAGGGATCGTATCCTTTGTGATGCACGTGCTTCCATTTTATCGTGACAAACTTCAGCTTGGTGGGTGACTAAAAAATTGTTGAACTGTCTCCTCTGGCTACGATTTATATTCGTTTATATTCATTTTACGGTTTTACTTTTCAATTGTTGCAATTATATTTTCTCTTTAAATTATACTTTTATAGAATTTAAAAATTAAAGTGATTTATTGTTCGACAAATTTAAATATGAAATTTATTTAAATATAAATAAATTTTATAATTCATCTTAATATTGAAAAATTCGCGAATTAACCTAATAAATCGTGTATTATGACTATCTTGCCGCTAGTGGTAGTATGATAATTTGTTATCTTCGACTATGGCAGCCATTTCCGTTCGTGGCGCGTTACTTTGCGTCGATGTTCAAAATTAGCCCTATCATGTTAACCTGAATAATTTATATGGTCGTAGTAAATTCTTTGAATCTTTTTTATACTATCAATATTATTCATATGCTATTCTTCTAAGATGAAACTTTAAATCTTTGCATTTGAAAAATAGATGAAAATCCGTAATTAAACGAAACTTTTTTTTAATCAATGAAGTATATTATATTCAAAACTATACGTGTTCATTTTTAGAATTCTCAGAATGTTATTCCAACTTGACGAAAAAACTTGTCTTATTGGAGTTTAATTTTAGCCTTCTAGATGCGAAGAAAAATTGATCGTGTTGTCTGCGAACAAATTCCATTGCTAATTCTGACTGATGAAATTGACGTTTGTTATCATTAACAACATGCCTCAATTTTTTTTACATATCTTAGTTTTTATTTATAATTTTAGTTCATACATTAATGCATTATTTTTAGATTTTAAAATTTATTAATATTTAAATCAAATATTTAGAATTAATTTCTCTAAAAATAAAATATCGTATGAAAAAATTTTATTCCATATTTTTATTTAATTTTTTTATAAAATTTTTATATTACATATAACATTTATATTACATATAACATTTTTATCCAGGAATTGCATGATATTCTGTAATATCGTTCTGTCTTCACGCAATAGAAATTATAATAAAGTAATGTTTAATTGTAACATAAAAAATTAAAAAAAAAAATGAAACAAGATTGAAATATCATACAATAAACGATAAATTAAAAAAAAGCGTCAGTGCTTCGATTAAATAAAAAGAAATATTTACATATCAATTAGCATAGTTCTTGGTAGGAATTGAATGTGTGTGCAATTCATTCATTGCTCTACGACTTTTTTATCGCAGTTTCCTGCAGTTGTATCGTTACCTCCTATCGTTACCTCCAAACAAAAGCACATTTCTGAAACAAAGAATCTTTTTACTAAAATAAAATATTTAAAAAAATATAATTAATTATTTTTTTATAACTTCGGATTATTATTTCATACATAAGATTATTATATACAATGTGAAATTTTTTCACATAATATAATGTATATTTTTTTATTTATAATCATGTGAATAGTTTTCCATTTATTATTCATTTAATATCAAATAATATATTATTAATTAATAATATATTTACATCTTTGCTTGATTGATTTGTTGACTGTAACATTGATTTGTTTAATTAAAGTGTATTGTTGTTGTCTTTATTCCTCTCTAATAAGTTTTAAATAACAAAAGTTGTAAATAACAAGTGCTAATTTAATTTAATTTAGTATTTCGCGAAAAAAGAATAATGATTCTTTTTAATTTTTGAATAATAATTGATTTTTATAGTATAATGACTTTCTTTTTAAAATTGTGTTATGTATAAAACGTTTATTTTCTTGTCATGAATAAACATAAATAAACGATATCTTGGTTATTAATATGAAAATAAAAGAAATTAAAAAGAGTAGATATTAAACAGCAAAAGATACAAATTAAATTAAATTATAAATTTGCTCAAATTAATTATTCATATCTCTTACAAAAGTTGTAAATATATTTTCCCCATACTCTTTTAGTATAACACTTTTTATTTATTTTTATTTTTAAACGATAATTGGTGCAATGTTCATTAATCTTTTTTATACGAATGATAAGTCATATCAATATAATATCAGCTTTTCAAAGACATGAATTTTGTTATCAATATATTTTTAATATTTTTATTTTTCTAATTTTTATTAACTAAATTCTTAGATTTAAAATAAAGTTCTAGATTCTTCAAATTTTTGATTAATGAAATATATTATATATATATATATATTATTAATTTTATTATAATATAAATATAAATATATATACCATATCATAGTTGAATTTAAATCGAATAGAAATTGTCGTTTAATTGTTACGGATATTCTTTGTAAACCCGTATGTGTTATATCTTTTATCTGGAGATATTTATCATAATAAAAGAAACATATCAATATGCTTACGTATTTGATAACAATGCGTTTCCAAAACGTCAAGCGTAGATGTCGTTAGTGCAACGTGCTTCATATTTTCTAGGGTCACAGCGAAGAAGCATCGAACGGAAGAATCAACGGCGACTGATCGAAAAAAAAAAAAAATCAAGATAAATTGAAAGGAAAAAATCACGTATCAAAGATTACCTAAGATAAATTCGGTGAGATATAAAGAAACAAATAAAGAGAAAAAAAGAGAAGTCACTCGTGAGAATCACGTGTTTTCATCGGAATATACATCGAAAATTTGAACCAGGATTCTTCAACTATCTTCAAATTAACTTAGGATTATTACAGAAACGACAATCATCATGATACATCGTGGAAACGTACGATTGATACGTTGCAACAAACCGGAAATGTGTCACGATTCTTTTACGATAATTCAACTGTCTTATCGATCGCCGATTTGAAAAGTGAGTAGATCTCTTTTTTTTTCTTTTTTTATAAGATTAATTTTAATTCAATCATTTGTCAATTATTATGATTATTAAGCTATTTTGGATTGATTTTTTATTCTGAAAAATATCTTTTTTTATTATTTTGTTATCTTAGGCATCAGTATTAATCAATTGATTGTTCTCGTTTTATATTTCTTCAATTAAAGAATTAAAACTGAAAATGCATTTTTTTCAAATAATAAAATTTGACAAATGATTATTCGTATTTAAAATACGTAACTTTTCTTAATTATCGATACGAAAAATGAGGTCAATCTGCGTTCACACATTCCTCTGATGATAACAATTCTTATTCCTTTGACTGAATTTATCTTCCGGTATCCGGCCTGTCATCGGCCCGCATCGACTTCCGTTTTTCTTTGATGACTCGTCTTGTTTTTTCTATCATCTTCATTTGCAATTCATTCTAACACAATTCCAGTTCATTAATTGTACTCGTTACCATATTTCAATTGGCTGATTAGAATTTTTAATCTTGTTTTTATTCCTCGTATTCGTTGCCTTATTCCTAGAAAGTATTTGTAATAATATATCCTATTTCTTGGAGGATAATAGGGGAATTCCCAAAGCGTTAATCATTAAATAGATATGCGTGCTGTGTATAATGCGTTACTCACTAAAGGGTTGCTAATAGACTAGAAATATTATATGATTATTCAATTTAAATTTTAATCTATTTTTTTTTTCAAATTTTAACATTGTGAAATTATAAACTTTAATTATAAATTAAAAAATATTGCAATTTTTTATTTTTGCAATTATTAAAAATATGCCACTACTTTGACAAAATTCATCATTTTTATTGAAATAGAAAATTTAATTATAATATATATTTTATTTCTATTATACATTTATCATAAATCAAAAAAATATTTATGCTATATATAAAGATAATGAAAATAAAAAAATCAAAACTATATATGATTGGATAAGGAAAATTAGAATTAAAACTTTTTCCAACTTCCTTTCTTCTTTGAAATATGATATCATTTGTGAACCACACAAATATAGATATATGAGCATTAACATGATATAACATGCATTGATGTCAAATTTTTATGAGAAAATAAAGATGAGAAATTTCTTGAAATAATATTATTTAAGATATTATTTGAAAGAAAAAAAATATAGTTAATCTATTGTCGTTTAAAGATCTGATGTATTTCTTTGAACGAGTCGAATTACACTAACTTTTAGATAAAATTAATCTAAAAATTTAACCAAGCATTTACAGAATGTAAACTGTCGTAGGTCGGCGGATGGACGTGGTAGCAGCTGGAAAGTTCGAACACGGAGGAAAGTACGAACCTGGAATCCGTCGTCATCGGCGGCGACGTCGAAGAAAGGCCAAGTTGACAAAAGTCGGTAGATTTTCACGGAGGAAGAAGAAGAGCGCGAATTCGTTATTGAATCAAGAGAGATAGAGGCGAATCGTGGTAATAGATATTGAGTAAATCGTGCTTCTTCTAAGAAAATCGCGGTTCGAACACGTCCGTGTTCGTTCCTTGATTCCACCAGTGCCATTCAGTGTTCTCTAACCTAACTTAATCTATTGGAATCAATAAAATAAAATAAAATAAAATAAAATAAAATAAAATAAAATAAATTAAATTAAAATATTGAACTATAAATTATATCCAATTGCTTAAATATCGCAAAACGAAAAACGTCGTGCCACGTGAATCGGAAAAATTCGACGAATGCTGCCTTTGTACATTTTTTTATTATTGTGACATGAGTGTGGTTTGATATAGTGCAGTATAGTTCTTTTTCTTTCTTTTCAAAATCGCTGTTTTATTTTATTGAGTCTCGAAGGATTGATATTGAAGGGAAACGATAGTGTGAATTTAATTCGTGCGAGTGAGAAAAAAATATTGGTGTCAGTTTTGAAACGACAAAAGGATTCGTACTTGCAAGATGATACTGCTTCGAACGATTTTGATGGTGCTCTTCACTGTGATGGCTACCGGGACACCGAGATCCTCGATCATTTATGCAGATGATAAAGTGGTGAGTTCTTTTTTTTTTTTTTTTTTTTTTTTATTGAATTTTTTATACAAAGAATTCAGAACTAAAGCAATTTTTGTTAAATTTCGTTTTTTTTCGTAGAAGAATACAAATAAATACAATTATTATGATTTATTTATATAATTATATTATAAAAAAATTTTATCTAATTAAATCGTGATATTGTGTGGTGGATCGTACGATTGCAATTGGATTGGAAAAAGAACAATATTGTTATTTTTGATATTTTTTTCTAACATTTTAAAATAGAAAGATAATTAAATAGATTATAATTAATATTTCAAGATATGTATATTTTTATGATTCACTATAAATACGTGACTTGTCTCTGTGATACAATAAGATAAATTTAATTTAATACGTGATGTTTTGAAATCTTTACTTATATAGCCTTGTTTAGATCATTGGAAATATTAATTTAAATAATTGAGATGATCATCATGATTCATATCAAGTCGATGTTTATTCTATAAGCAAATTATTGATAATTATTTTCTATAATAGACTATTTTTTATTGTTAGGAAAAATAAATCAAAATTGTATCATATAGTCCTATTTATTTTCGGAAACAATTAGTTAAAAAGCAGAAACATGTATACAATTTTCCTTTTTTCACATGGAATCTGTTAAAGTTTAAAACGAAAGTTGAGTTCTCTAGGGAGAATGTAGTAAGTCAAACATACAGAATATTAAATTAAGAGAATATTAAATTAAGAATTAAGGGCTATGAATGTTGAACGTTCAAGAACAGATTTTATCTGTAGTTTCAGGCAAACAACTTCTGTCTTATTCGTATCTCGTTAAAATGATTGGCATTAATATTCGGACATGTTGATTTTCGAAAGCTTATCGTTATATAGAGTGTTTCACAGAATTGAGACGAGTTATTTTCGTATAAAATATGCAAAAATTTTATTAAGTAAAATTAAATAATTTCTAATCAATATGTGATCTAAAAATAATCTTTTCTATTTTTTCATTCTGGATTAAACTAATAATTTTTTATATATTGATTAATATAAACAGAAAAAAGTATATTAGAATTTTACTGTTTGAAAATGATAATGTAAAGCATAAATTTGAATTTTAATTGCATAATATTTGAGAGATAAAGGAAACATAAATATAAGTATAATAAAAAATATTCAAAGATATTAAAAGTAATTTTTTGTAGATTTTTATTATTAACTTATTAATGTCATTTTTGATTAAATTTTATTTATCTTACAAAAAACAGTTGATAAATGAAAAAAATGAAAAGTTTGAAAATATATAAAAGATATATATATAAAATATATATATATAAAAGAATATTCAAAGAATTTTTTGTTTGAAAAAGTAAAATTCTAAATTTATATTAATATTACAAATTTAATATCTAACATTGATATCTCTATTACGTTTATTGAAAATATTCTATTGATATTCAATTTCTAACTCAATATTGTAAATATTAATAAGTATTAATAAATATCTTAAATTTTTTTTAAATTTTTAATATTTAAAACAGAAATATTAAAAAAAAAAAAATTAAAATAAATTTAAAGTGAAAAAACTAAATTCAACTAGAATTAATCATCTAGAATTCAACACGAAACAAAATTGATTTTAAAACTTCAAATTGCCTCCATCTGTAAAAAAATACATTATGCTCTTTTTTATGAAACTTCTTCATGCAATAATTTTTCAATACATACATAATTTACCAGTTATTCAAGTTTTATAAAGTTTGATCAAGTTTGAAAGCGATTATAATACATTCTAAGTGTAAATGATTTTTTTTTTTTTTGCATAAATGTTAAACACATATATGTAATATTATTTCATGCGTGTGTCATAGAATGAGTCGACTTGTGAATGTGTGACGATGACTAAAAGCCAAAATACGGGTCGATTCCACGTACAAATAACGTATATTGACTGCGTGCTTTTAGTATAGTAGCGCCTGCGTCATCATAACCCTCTTTTCTGTGTAACTATTCTCATTTCTTTCTTCCTAATGTATATTCTCATATGAATATTTCACAAAAGAACAAAAAATTAGGTTAGGTTAGGAAAAATAGGACAAGTCTTATTTCTATCTTTATTTCGAAAATGAAACAAATGAAAAACATGAAAACAATTAAAAAAAACTGAAATTTTGTTTATTCTCTTCTAATCGAAACGTGAACTTAACTTTAACTCGAATTATCTGTCACACGTTTAAGCGTGTTATTTAACCTACAAATTTCAGAATGAATCAATCTCTGTGAATATATCTCGAAATTTACCTTACAAGTCAAACTTTTACTATCACTTACTTACTTCAAAACACGTAATTATTAATTAATTTAATAATTATAATTTAATAATAGTTAATTAAAATCTCTCTCCCTCCAAAGGAATGTTTCCACGAATATTACAACATCCTTCTACATTAAATTCTTACACAATATCGAATGGCATATAATAGTACCGTTCATCCACGAGAAGAGTGAAATGGCAGAAAGAAAACAGGAGATTTTTGCCTCAGTATATTATACTAATGTGTTGATATAGTAATAAGATTCTTGTAAACTATAATAACAATATATTTTCTCAATAATTAACAGTTTGCTTATAAGATAAATGTTTGAAATATATTCATTGTCATTGCATTTGTTCTAATCACACTAGATATATGTTTTCTTCATCAGATGATTCGACCAATTACGTGTGACGCAAAATATAGATGCAATAGTGGGGCAATAATATCATTCTTTTTTCTGTTTGCCATTTTTTCTTGTGGATGAATACAAGAATATTACCTCCAATACCTAGTAATTTATTACGATAAAGTAATAATGCAATAACAAATATCACCGTGTCATAGATAGAAGCTGACAGAAAGATTCCGTGTGAAATGGGCTTAAATGGGCGTAGTAGTAAACCCCGCTAGGAGAGAGTGGATTTTATCAGCTGAGGCCTTCGGCCTTACTTCGAAACCATTAAGCCAGGCATTTATATGCAATCGAGGTCGTTAACTTTACTGCAGGAAGCGCCGGCGTGTATACAGAATTCTTCGGCTGTGTGTCAAGATGTGACACACGCACTTGCGCTCTATGTACGTATAGATATATGCGCGTCTGGTCAATGCGTCTGGTCAATGCGTAAGGATCCGTTTATACTATCCAACACGACGAAAGATTTGTCGAGCAAGCTCTAACCATTGGAAGAGAGTGGAAGAAAGTAGTAATAGTAGTGAAACTTGAAGAAAGAGATGGAAGAAATAACGGGTTTTTTCGTATTATTTCATTTTGACAAGATCTCTACCTTACCCTCACACAACGATATTTTTTAAACCCGTTGAAGAAATAAGTAATTAAGAATAAAGTTACTTTATTTATTTTATTAAAATGCTTGAATAACATTTATTTGTATTATAGTTGATTCTCTATTCATATAATTGCAGTTATTCAATGTTTTGAACAATAAATTATTAAAGTGATTTATTGAACTTTATTCTTAACTTCACTATTATATTTTGCTTATCTACGTTCTCACAGTGTAATACAAATAAGATACTTATTATTTTCTCCACTTCTTTTTCCACCTTACTACTTTCCACTATTACTATTTTGTCCCACTCTTCTAACGATTAGTTTTTGCTAGGCAATTCTGGACGCGACACCGATCTATACGTGACTCACACAAACGTTCTTGCGTATAATCAAATGGAAGTGTTTATTCCGTCACACTACGCACGTATATTCGAACATCTTATATAAAAATAATTATTTCGTCGAAAAATCTTTTTGCAAGAGGAAATTAATTTTCAAAGTTTTAATATTTTTTCATGTTTTCAATATAATTTTGAATAAGAATTGTTTTATATTAGGAATGTTTATATTTCGAATGCAAGTCGAATGAAAAATTTTCCTCGGAAAATTGTGTCAAGATCCCGCAAATTTGTAATGTTTCGATATTCAAGACGGAAAAATTATAAAAAAGCTTCATATTTATATACAAACTTTCCAAGTTCATAATCGCTATATGAATTAAAATTTAGATATTCGAAGTTGCAAATAACTTTCGAGACCTATCTCGATCCGGGGCTTAGATATTCCTCATTATTATTATTATTATTATATTATCATTAGCATTATTAATGCTTGGTCATTAGCTAGGGATCTAGAGTTTAAAGTAAATTCCGAAGCAACATCACGGTGTTCTCAAGCGGTAATCGAGTAACTAACCATATCTGACATCGCTTAACTTTGATGATCAAACAAGACTAGTAGATTCTACATGGTAAAGTTGTTGGCAGAAAAGAAGCATTGAGACAAAGATGAAGAATGAGGTCGTGTGTAAAAAAGAAGTGAAAGATAAAAGGTTGCAACATGATATAGAATTGCGGATTGTTTGTATCTTCAAATTGAATTTTTGAGTGGAATAATATATACAATTGTTGTTGTAACGTATGAATTAATTTTAGATAATAAATAAATACGAATTAATAATCGGTGGAAAAATGTTTTACAAAGTTAAATATAAAACAAAGAATAGCAATTTTATGTTTATAAACTCGTTTTTAGAAGTGACATGCGTGTACGGAAAATCTTGGCTAGACACCAAACATACTTGGAATTTAGTATTGTTCGATGTTATCGACCTACGGTTCTTGGAACTTTATCAATTGACTTTATCGAAGAGAATATATTTTTTTACGTCTTTCATTTGTTATTTTTTTTTATTAGTTTAAAAATAAAATATATATAATTTTTTTAATACTAAATTTATATTTTAAGATTTCAGAGAAAAATTTAATAAGTTAATCTTTATCAACAAATGTTTAATATACGTATCTATTTAATTTAATTTCATTTCTTTATTTATATATTGAATCATAATATTTTATATATTGAATCTTATAATTTTATGATTGAATTAAAGAGATAGATATTTTTATAAAATCAAGAGAAAAAAAATTTTAGTAACAATAATTTTATAAAAACTTATTTCCACACATTTAAGATTATTGCAATATTAAAAATTAAGATTATTAAAAGATTAAAATTAACACTTTTTCATATTCCAAGTAAACATTTTTCTAGTATAATATCCATTTATTTGTAATATACATAATTATCAAGAGACAAAAGTAAAGATACAAAAGTGTAAATATATTCTACAAATATAAATATAAATAATATATGAAATATACATAATAATATATAAATAAAAGTATCATAATATACATAATAAAAAAATAAATTCTCTTAAAGTTTTTGTATATCTTATGTACAAATATAAATGATGACTAAATATGTAGTACAAGTAGCGTTTTTGAAACATGTTTTTAAAAATGGATAAAAGCTTCAATGAATTATATTGAATTAACTGTTTCTCACAGTGTTATTTAGGAGTTTTATAGGTTAATAGGTTTTCCAAAATATGCAGTTAAACATGCTTCCTTTATGGCTTCCGAATATGTCTGTAAAAAAAACAATAAAATCAATATTCGACAATTTAATCAATTATTATATCATTCAAAATACTTACTGGATGTGCATGACACGACCTTGCAACATCTTCTGCCTTTATCTTACATTGCACAGCAAGAGCTGCCTCGTTAATCAATTCACCAGCGAATGAACTAATCATATGCACCCCCAATATTATATCCGTACGTTTATCTGCCAATACTTTAACGAAACCATCCGTCTCGAGATTCGTTCTTGCTCTAGAATTTGACGTGTTTGGGAATTTTCCAACTTTGTAATCGACTCTTTCTTGCTTTAATGTTTCCTCCGTTTTGCCAACCCAAGCAACTTCTGGATATGTATATATTATGTGGGGCACGCTATTGTAATCCATTTGATTAGTACCTGGGTGAACATATGATCTTTGTAAATTTTTTCAGAAATACAGAAATATAATAATATAGATAACTCATCACCTCCTGTAATGCTTTCAACTGCAATAACAGCCTCGTCTTCGGCTTTATGAGCCAACATAGGTCCATGAATACAATCTCCAATAGCATAAATCCTATAATAAAAGTTTTATTTTATTAAATTTTACATGCATTATAAAATAAGAGATAAAGAAAAATAAAAAAAAAGGAAAGAAAGAAATGTACACTCACGTTGGTATTTCTGTTTGGAATTTGCTATTTACAGGAATTCGGCCTAAATGATCTTTTTTAATTCCTACGCTCTCTAATCCTAAATTGTGCGTGTACGGTCTTCTGCCAACACAAATTAGAAACGTATTGCAAGAAATGTTCTCTTTCTTACTAGAATCGTTTATGTTTTCGACAGAAACAACGATGTCGTTTCCTGTTTTGTTCGCAGAAGTGACTTTCGTTTCCATTTTAAATTTTATGCCTTGTTTAGTTAAGATATTCCTTAATATTTGACTAACTTCCTTATCTATAGTTGGCCCACCAATAGTGGATGAAGAATCAATTGCCGTTACGTCCGAGCCAAATCTAATAATTAAAAAAATTAAAAAAGAATTAAAAGAAATAAAAAATAATAATTAAAGGAATTAAAAATCGATATTGTTTTTACATTTCTTATTTCAATTTTGATAACAAAAATACCTCTGCCAGACTGAACCTAATTCCAATCCAACGAAACCAGCGCCACCTGTCACGAATTTTGGAGGTGTCGAGCTTAACGACAAAGCTCCAGTAGATGAAATAATTTCTTTCTCGTCGATATTTGTACCCGTTAACGGTGTATATTCGCTTCCAGTGGCGATCATAATTCTTTTAGAATTAATTACGCTTTGTATCGAACCATCTGGATTAAGTGCAGCAACTTGATTTGGATTAGTGATTTTTCCATGGGCCTTCACCCAATTTACTTTATTCTTTTTGTACAAAAGAATAATACCGTTTGCTAAAGATCTGATTACATTCTGCTTTTGCTGCATGCATTTATCGATATGAAGTTTAACATGTTCAACTGTAACGAGGAGAAAAAGAAAAGATGTGATGACAGTTAAATTATGATAGATTAAATTTTTAATTTAAAAAAAAAAAAAAGAGAGAGAAGAATTATACCTGTAATTCCACTATTTTGAAAATTTTTATTAAACGCCATGTTATAATAGTTTGAATTGTGTAACAAAAATTTTGATGGAATGCATCCTGTATTGAGACAAGTTCCGCCTAATGTATCTCTTTCTTCTATGCAAATTGTTCTCATTCCCAATTGTGATGCTTTTATCGATGCCACATAACCACCAGGCCCACCACCTATTACTACAAGATCAGCTTCTAAAGTAGTGTATCTATTTAATTGTATAGCTATCAAGCCAGGTACAATACGTTTGTCTCGTGATGGCTGATAAAAAACAGAGAAAGAAAAAAAGTGTTATTTAAAAAAATATTTATTTCTATTTTTCTACAATTTTTAAACTTTGAAAAAATCAGATATAAATGATATAATCAAATGTACTTTTACTTTTATGAATAATGAATTTAAAAAATTTTAGTTGTGCTAGTCAAATCAATAATCGAACGAAATATACAAGAAAATTATTTATCCTTCGATAGATTGATCGATATCCGATTGTAATGATCGAGATCATTGGATAATAAATAATTTTTCTTTTAAACTTACTTTCCCAGAAATACTCATCAAACTCCAAAAACAAGCCTGCATCATTTTATACTTTATTGTTTAATATAAAAGGAATTAAAAAGCAAACAAGTTCACGACAGTGAAAAATAAACACTGCTTCAACAGTTATTTCAATATCATCCAATTCGCAGTTTTGAATTAATTATTTCGATATATCGTCATGTTTCAAAACTAGCCACTCGATGGCGCTAGTCATCTATCATGCGACGTGAAAAGATATTAACCTTTTCTTTAATTCATTTTTCGATACATTTGAATCTAAACGAGATATAGATTTAATAAGATTTCGTATATAAAAAGTGTGAAATTGAAACGTCAAAATTTTAACATCTTAAAATTAAAAAAAAAAAAAAAATTAGAGTGATAATTATTACATGAAACAAATAAACTGATGTTTATGCAATTAACAATTCTTTTTATGTAAGTTTTTTAAAAAAAATATATGTATATATATCATATGAAATAAATAATTCACCAATAAAAAAATTTTAAAATACAAATTTATAAAAGTGTATATATAAAATTATTAATTATAATAAATTCAAGCAAATATAAATTTACAATAAAAAATAAGGATTATTAAATTGTAATCGTTTGTAATAAATATTTCATACCAATGATAACGGATCGTAAGTCTCTGTATGACTTTGTGAAGATAGTATACATGTAAGATCCGTATATTTAAAGTCGAAAATGACTTTATTTATTGCTGTTTCTTAAAAGTGTCAAAATTTCTACAGGAATATCTGGATAAAACAGTTGAATGGGCTAAAAAAGTGAAAGATCAAAATTAATGCAAACAAATCTAATCACATTATTTTTACAAACATATTGCAGATTCGAAAATTAAGATAAATGATGAGACAAAAAAATAATAATGGTAGTATATCTCGACAAAGGGATTCTCATATGGAAAGATCACATTAAAAAAAGAAAAAATAATTAGATACGAAAATAAGAAAATTATATTGGGCAAATCTCCTCATTCATTACTAAAATAAATTTTAAAAAATATATAAACTTGTGATTATCTTATTACATAGATATATAGTATCCAAATTTGAGGAAAAAGAAAATTTTTTTAACATTATACAAAGATTTCAAAACCAAGGATTAAGAACAATTAACAGCTATCCCATGATTGAAATTCTTCATAAAAATGTAAGAATAAAATGAAATAAAGAAACAAATTTAAAAATTTATCATATGTTCAACAAACGTAACAACAAATTAGGGATATATTCTAAAAATCTAAATGGCTAAAAACCTGACAAAAAAAAATTAAAAAATTAAAGAGAAGTCACACTGTTTGTTAAAATGAAATAGAATGGAAATATTCTTGAGCGTGATCCATACATATTTGTTTGATTGATCAACAGAGTTAGTTGTAAATATAATACAAATATTAAAAAAAAATTTTATTTAATAATAAAAAAATTCTTTATAATTCTTTGTTGATTCTTGTGTTAACTATATCTGTTCTTCAAGTTAAAAATGAAAGTGATTCCGGTGATGTATAATTACGGTGGGATCGGACTGGTTTTAATGAAACAAAGTTTCATCGCAATTACGCTCGACCCTGAAAGTCTGATACAATTTCCTTCGTCGAGCGTAATTCTTGCAGTTTGCACGACACTTTCACATCTCCACCACTGTTGGATAATTCACTGCTTCGAATCTTCAGATAAATAATGTATATCAACAATATCAATGAGTATTTTCCGTGATTCAGTTATATCGAATAACTTCAAATTTTTATATTATTGTATAATTGCAAAATATTAAATTATAATTTAAATAAATTTAAATAAAATAAAATTTGAACTTCTTTGATTATTTTTAAAATATTTCTGTAAAAATTAATATGATAATCGATCAGAAGTTTATGAAAAAATATGTCTTAATTAAATAATTGACATAAAAATCAAAATTATCAGTGAGAAGTTTATCAAAGTTTCTATGAAACAATGAGAACACAATTTTTCAAAGTTGAATGAAAAATTTCTAATCGAGGGGAAAAAATCGAAGTTTCGTTCAATTTCGATAGCGATGAACGTATACAATTTTACATTGCAATCTTGCATGTTGATTTCCATAGAAATTCGCTTTCACCACGAATACGGAATATGCTATATTCAAAATCTAAATTTACAGATGATATTTCTGATATTCTTTTTTTCATTCTTTTTTTTTATGGTTTTTCTTGATATTTTATTCAAATAATTATGATGGCTTTTATGCATGTAATCTTAACCTATATTAAATCCTAACCTATACACTTCAATTGGATCATATTCATCATATTTTCTTCGTTTTATGTAATATATCGATATCTTTATTTTAATAAAATTGAATTACATTTGAATGTAGGTTATGTTCATTAAGTTCTTATTTTTGATTTTTTATTTTTTTAAAATTAAATTAAATTTAGATTGGGATGAAAGTGAAATTTGTAATTAATAAAATATAAGATAGAAAGAAAGAATCGAATTAAGATTATTTTTTCTAATATGTTATTTTTATGATATATGATTAATTATTTTATTGTAGCTATTTAATTATAAAATTGAAAAATCTCGTTATGAAATATTCATTGCACCATTTTTTTGCATTATAAATTGCATTATTTTTTGCATTATTAAATTATGTGATCAAAAATATATTCTAGAATGACTATAAATTAAAATAATATTATAAATTTTTTAGTCAATTGAAACATATGATGGGAACAACTGTGCCAAAGAAATATCTTGGCGATCGATTTTTCATGGATTCCATGTTCTTTTAAATTTCATGGAATTATGCACCGGGATAGTTCTTCCCGTCTGGCAGTCAATCAATGGGTGCGGTTCGTTCGCCACATGTGTTACTAATTACGTCAGGCTGGCCGTTTCGCACGGATCGAATAAAAATGGAGAACTATTCTTTGACTCTGTTCACTATCTAGTCACGCATGATCTATCTCGATCTTACGCACGATTCACTGATTATCAAAGAGTTGGACATGTGCCTATAAAATTTTACGAATTCGTTGATCATGCGAATTAACTCGAGTAGTTTTATCACTATTCAATTGTGGATTAAATCTATAAAATTAAATTCTAAAAAATGGTGTATTTCATATACACCAATATATTAATATTTAATATAGTATTATTATATGTAAACTATATTAACGAAAATATTCAATTGAGACATTTATATTTCTGTATTAGCTTATATGAAACGTGTATACTGTAAGTAAATAGATTTGTTTTATATATTATTATGTGAAGTATTTTCAATCAGAATGGCAACTTACGAAAAATAAATATGATACTTATCATATTTATTTTTTTTTCTATTATCGAAGTTAAATAGAAAATATATTCAAGATCATTAAATTATTTTGTTTATCTTATGCATTTTTCTCTATATTTCGATCCTTCCAATCTATTTCTACCTCTCATACTATATATAAAACTATATTGTCCACCGAGTTCTCTTTTTTAGTTCTTTTTCCTAACGCGTCTTCTACGCCCTCTTCCACGAGACACACGTAGCAACACATTCAACACGTATACCTATGCATTATTTCGTTGACCCATTCTTTCCTTACAGTTCGCGTTCAGCGTAACAAATATTTACATAGCGAGTCGAAAGAGCAGGCGGTATAGTTGTCACAGCCGGCTTTTCGGGCTTGGGTACAAAATTCGTTTAAGTCGTCCTTCACGGGGATATACGTTATGGCAGCGGAGGATACGGATCCCAAGAGGTTTATGTACCAAAACCGACACGCGTCTAATAAAACAGTGGATTGTCTCCAAGCAGCAGCTGTAATCTTTCGGTACGTTCCACTCATTATTCGACGATTAAATATTCGTGACAAAATCCCTGCTGCTGTAGAATGCCTCCTTTGTTTACAAGTTAAAAGTGGTTGGAGAGGTTATACGATCGTTCATAGTGAATATTATAAAGATCGTAGTTGTAGTTGTGAGATAAGGAAATTTATTTCAAGATGAGTTATCTAATTAATTTTTGCATTAATTTCATTGAATTATGAATTAATTTAATAAAAACATTTTAACGTAAATATATTATTGATTATTTTTTATTAATAAAACCAATTTTGAATCAATTAATTATTGATCAATCTTTTTAGATTCTGTATTGAATCTGTATTGAATTATAACGTCTATTTATTTTTTTATAATTTTAATCTGAAAAAAAATATTTTATTGAATAATAAATTAACTTAATGATGGAAATATTTCAATACAGATGTATTATTAGAAAATATAAAAATATTAATAGAAAATACATATAATAACCATTATTTATAAAACCATTTATTAATATTGAAACTTTTTTTATAAACATGAATGTTTTTTATATTCATCATCTGTAAAGACGCATAATACTGATGGTATAAGCGTAAATGAATGAAACAGGATGTTTTCTGATTCATTGTAACTTGTGCAATTATTTGCGGAAGTACATACCTAGTGGTTTTGTTTTTTATTGTTAAATTTCATTGATATTACGCATATCCTAATCATATGACTAAGAATTTTATTACTCATGTATGATTTATTCATTAAATAATTAAGAAAGAAAAATATGTCAATTATTTTTCAAAAATTCTTTATAACTATTTTTTTAATTAAATTTAAATAATTAAATTAATTAATTTGTTAATAGTTATAAATTTTATTAATAATATCAATTTGATTGTGCAAAATTATGATCCAAACTTTGTATTAATTTTATTAACCAATCATTCAATGTTGGTATCTTCAAGCTCGTAAAAAACCAGTGTCAAGAAGCTGAAAACGCTTCTCAAGTGGCAGAAAAGTCCATGTTCGTGAAAAGAGGTTGTCCAACGAACAAGGCATTCCCTTGTCCAACGCCACAAGGCTTCTCATTTTTAAGTAACGCTCGTAAAAGTTGCGTCTCGCGGCTAATAAACGTACTTGACGTTCACGCGACCCCTTAAATACCTCTAAAGGGTATTTCCTTAAAAAAAAAAAAAAAAAACAATCAAGTCATTTGTTATTTTATATCTTGTTTCTGGAAAATTTTGAAAATAAATGGTCCATAAATAATATTATAAAATACTTCACTGAAAGTTAATTTAAACAGGGTAATTATATTTGAAATTCTTGAGAAGAAATCATTAGAAGGAAAGAAAATTTTATTGGAATTACTAAGATTAAATGAAGTTGTTAGAAAGAATAATTTCTTTTATTTTATTTGAAGTTTGTTTAATGATTTCTTAATTTAAATGCGATTAATTTATAGGTGGAAAATTAAAGAAACAACTTCTTAAAAAATTAAAGAAACGACTTCTTAAAAAAATTATATACTTTTATAGAAAATTAAATTGTAACACTATTTTTCAATTTTAAGATGTTTATGAAAAATAATTTTTAATATTGATCCAGAATAATTAATCTATAATTATTTATTTGAATATTTTTTTTTAATTTTAAAATATTTATAATATAATAATTTAATAAATCAAAAATATAATTGTTTATAATGATCATTTTATTGGTATTATTTTTAATTTTTGAAAAAGAACAATTATGTTTAATAATCTTTAAAAAGTACATATCTTAAAAATCTTATCTCATATGTTGAAGTTTTTTCTTAGAGAAATTCAATTCAAGGATGTAGTTAGATGTTAATATAGTAAATATTTTTTTCTTATTATAAAATAAATTCAGTTTTATGTGAATCATCATTTTTCTCATTTAATTCTTTTCATTTTAGTCAATTTGTATTTTTTTCCAATTAGTTATTTCTTTCTTCCCTATTTATAAATGTATTTATTCGAAGTTGTTCGTAGAACGTGTTTGTCATGCCACAAATTTATAGATTTAATTGCTTACCAAGAAATTCATTTATTAAGATACATGAATTCGTTGAAATATCATCTGAATTCATATGGTGTCAAAATTTATATTGCATTTACGATGCATATACATATATTTTCTATTATTTTCTTATTTGAAATAAATACTATAGATATTTTTTTCAAATAATAATTATTTCATTTGTTTAAATATACATAATATTATTTAAAAAAATTTTGTGATAAAATAGATCTTAACCTCACTTTTTTAATTTAGATTTTATGAGACAAGTTAATAATATCAAATTTATAATCAGTAATGTTTGTTCCAATGCTGTATCGTTTATTAATCTCTAAATTAATTTCTTTTATAAATTTATACTGTCGACAAAAGTATGAAATTAATAATGTATTCCTTAGAATCTAAAAATTTAGAAAAAATGAAGTCAAAATATTTTTTTATTTAAAAATTAGAAAAGAATATGATGAAAATATATGAAAATATATAATAGATGAAAAAAGATAATTTTAAAAAAAGTACTTTTTGATATTTTTCAGATTTAAATCAATTGATTGGACAATTATAAAACGAATAATTCATATAGACGTCAAATAATTTCATCACGAGAACGATGACAAGACACTTGACTTTTAGTGGCCGATGACTCGATAAACTAACGATTAGTCACTGAGTTCGACTTAACGGTAAATTAAAAGGTCCAGGTCTTATTGGCGACAGTAATCGTCTCAGCAAGAATGCATTTGACCCAGGAAGTCGCGACACTTAATTCTGTTGTCCGATGACTGAAAGCTGGGTGACTAGTGATTCTACTAGTGTTTCATGGTTGAAATATGTGCTATATAATATCAAGATGCTTTTAAATAAACACAATTAAACTGTAATAATAAACTAATATTTTTAATATTATTTTTTATAAATCATAAATTACAAATTCATTGCTAATAAGAATTTTTTGAATTTTATTCAGTAATAAGTATATCAATAAAACAAAAAAAAAATTATATCTAATTATTCTAATTATTCCATTTTTTAAATTCCATTAATTATTCCATTAAAATTATGAAATTATAATAAAGAAACTAATGTATATGAATAATTATATCAACTCAATAATTTATTAATTGGTAAGTTATGCTATATGTCTCTAGAATCATTCTGTAAATAAGTTATTAAGATGATATATTTCATATAGGATCAGAGTAATTATTAATTTATCAATATATTAATATTAGTTAATTATTATGTAAAATAGATGTAAAATGATTATGTAAAATGAAAACATTTTATATTTCAATAATTTATTAAGAAAAACTGAAATTAACATACATTTTTCTTAATATAGTATAAAATAATGGGGATAATACAATAATAAATATAAATAATTTATGATTAAAAAATTTGATAAATCCTTTCTTCATTTGTATATTGAATGTAAATTCCTCTTTTACACTTGACTAGAACATAAAAAAAAATTTTAAATCTTTTCCTTTAAGAAAAGCAGCCAATTACTTCAATACTTCATTTTATGTTCTACATATTCATATCAGTCATAGTGGTGCAAAAATAAAAGCAGTAAAGGCTATCTGGTAGTTGAGCAAAGTCTGCTAATTCTTGGTTAAACTAACGCTGGATCGAGATATCGCATTGGTAAAATAGAAGTCCGGTGACCCGGTGCACACCGTTGCTGGAATAAGTTTCAGCTAAATATAGGTCGTTATAAAATTAGATTCCTCCGACGGGCTTGACGACTAGTACGTTCTACAAGTCCTGGATGTATCGGTAAGAATCGACTTCAGACGCTTCATTGAGTCGTTATTCTGTTAACTTCAAACGTTTTTTGAATTCTTTTTCCTTAAAGGATTTCTTAAGAATCTTTTTCAAAAGGAAATTCATTTCGTGATTATCTTCAAAATTGAGCATTTTTAATAAAACTTAAGTCTTTTTGTTCTTAACCTAACCTAAAACTGTAATAGCTTCTTTGGATTCTTTTCCTTGAAAATAAATTTACAAAATATTATTTTCATTAATTGATGAAATTTCAGTGAAAATTTAAAATAATATTTTAAAAATTGTAGGATACATATATATATATATATATATAGGTTATGTGTTTCAATATGTATACTTACATAGTCTTGTAATTTGAACTTAGCTAAATGCATCATGGATAAACCGGTAAACTGTGTGAAATGGCATCTGTTCGGATGCGGGTATATGAAGATTTATAATAAAATGAATTTCTATCTGTGGAGAAGAAATGCGAATATCATATTATATAGGAAAATATAGCATTGAAAATTTTAGTTAGTTATTAGTTAACCAATATATTAATTTTTTGATTTTTTTATCAATTCCACAATTTTACGAAATAAATATTCAAGAAGAAAAAGAACAATAATGAAAAATTGACAATAATTTATAGAATCACAATACGTTTCTCACAATTAAACTCCAAGAAACATATAATTACGAACGATTCTACTGTCATCTGGCGTGATGATTTATGAACTAATAATATTACCAAATTGACAAAGTTTAACTTGTAGGTTAGAAACTTTTCTTTTACAATTTTATCTCGAATAGTATTATAATCAAATATAACGTTAAATTATAATTTTCATATAAAATTATTTATTTAAAATTATTTAATATTATTACAGTTTACTACAATATTTGAAGAAAATTAAAATACTTTGATATTATATTATAGGCAAATTTGGCCTAGATTCTGGTTAAGTAAACTGAATGTAAACAACGCACGTTTCGAAAGATGGTGGTGCTTGAGAGTTACGACTTTGAAAACAATCGTGGAGAAACGTCGAACAATTCTTGCAAACAGTCGCGAACGAGCGTCAGATCTATCCGATGACTCGTACGAGATGGTACGCGTTTACGTGACGTGTATACTATTTCTTGAATGCGTGTCGTATCTTACCGTAGTGCTCGAATGTCGATGTAAACTTTCCTCTGAAAGTAACTACTTTGAGAGAAGATTAATTGTTCGCAACTGCTATACCTCTTTACAGTTTCAAGACCATAACTAGCCACGTGTCCAGCAAACACGACATTTATGGTTCAAATGAACGACGCAATATTCTAATACGAATGACGAATGATCTGTTGAAAGAAAATGGTATTGTATATATATGTATATTACGAGAACAGAAAATATCAGAGCGGAGAAAAAATAGATATTTTTATTAAAGTGATTATTAAAGTGATACAGGATTTTGAAAATACATTTTGAAATGGTTTTGAAATAAATTTCATACAATTCATATACATGTAAATATTATTTTATTTTTATATTTTTATATTTCAAATAATATTTGCTTATAGAAATATTTTAATTTTAATTTCAATCATTTTTCCGAATTCATTAGGCTATTTGAACGATACAAGCTATCTTTCATAATTCCATCAATTCTGGCATTACAAAGAAAATTAATTCATATTTCCATTGTTGTCCATAACTCGATCGAAAAATGATTGTCCCAATATCAGTTCGAGTGAATTCATATCGCAGAGTTCAATCCACATTGCACATCCTAGTTGCAGTTGGATCGTAACGAAACCACGATGCAAGATTTATCGTCGGTCATTCATTTTCCCCATTGGATTCAGTAATGTCCGGCAGGAACGTTTCCGGAATGAAATGAGAAATTTCCGCCGTTTCAACGGAAGATAAGTATCGATTAATAATAACCATTGCTACTGGTTAAAATGCAATTTATTCATTTGTTTTTATTTACCCATATAGGAATGGAACCAATAAACATCAATGGAAAAAGAAGAAAATAATATACAGTGTCAATATCAATTATATTATATCAATTCGTGGAATAAATTTCGATTTTAGAGAGAAACAACACAAAAATATAAAAAAATATCGATTGAGGCTTATTTTTTAAATTATAAACATTTTAGTGAGATTATATTATTTAGCAATATAGCAGAGATAGAGATATCTACATCTAATGCAAATTTAAATTATTTATAATTCAATAAATAAAACTCAATCAGTTAATAAAATATTTTTATATATTTTTATGTTTGTTTGGTCTTTTAAATTCCAAAAGTGTCTCTTGAATGTATTAATATATATATTTATTATATAATATATATTTATTATATTCTATTGGAGCAAATTTGGAATAAAAATGAAAAATAGCTGGTTTTAAAATTTATTCAAAAGAATTTATCATCTTGATATAACGATGAAAAATTGTACTTGTCGAGCATTCACGACAGGGGACTATTTTCAAGCGTTTATTTCTCTATATATGCTCGCAATATTTCCTTATTCTAAATTTTATATTCGATACGACATGAGATATAGGTGAAATTTATAGGGATCATTGAAATTGCGATAAGCTATCGTTTTATACATGCTATTGATCAAGTGTTTTTTTATTGTTTATGTTATTTTTTTTAATTTTTTAATTTTCTTTCATAAATTTATATACGTATACAATAAAATCGTTGATTATCGGATCTAATTGAAAAATATTTTGTAATATTATTACATATCATTTTCTTCAAATCTATTCCTTTGATTATATTGAAATTATCGATTCGATATAAATTTTGCATATATATTTGCAGATATTACAATTTAATCTCATGAATATGATATACTGCTTATCGAAAGATGAATAATTTATGATTCATAATATACATTTCTCTACTTATAACAAGAATATAACACGATCAAACGTGGATATAGATAGAACATAGTAATCTACATATTTAATTTCTTGATGACTATATAATTGTTTATATTTTAAATGAAGGCTAAGAAGTAGAGAATAAATAAATAGAAATATATTTATTTTGAAATAATACAGAATTTTACAGATAAATATTTCTTTGAAATAATAATTATACTATTAAAAAATAGTATATATATGTATCCTTTGAATCCAAATATAAAATATAAAAATAAAAATATAGGATGTTTTATCCAATATATAATCTTAATTTATTATTTCAAAAATTCAAAAAATTGTGTGAAAAAATGAGCATTACAAAGCTGCATGAGCATTAAAAAACAGTTTATTGTAAAAATTGAATACAAATTTTACAATATTTTAAAATTTTTAAAGAATTAAGAAAACTATTAAAAAAATGGTTTAAAAAATGATAACTGCAATAAATAAATAAATAATAAATATTTCATATTTTAAATATATCAAATTTCATAAAAAATTTTGTTTTTCATAATATTAGAAAAATTTCGTATGCTATCCAATAACATTTTGTCCAAATTTTGTGTATTAGAAGAACATAATTTCACAAGAAGTGACATACAAAATTTTTTCAAGAATTTCAAAATAGAAATTTCCTTCTAAATTTTTATTTTTTATACATTTAGATTATTATTTAGAAAAATATAATTCTAAAAATTTGATGTATTCACGTGTTGAGTTATATTCTCCTGATAAAATTCAATTTTTGAGATGAAAAATTTTATCCAAATGCAAGTGATAGAAGAAGTTAAACTAGAAATTACAATATTAAATATTTTTTTATAAATATTATACTAATTATTACGATAAATCTTTCACCAAATCTAAGATAAAACGAACTGATTTCCAAGCGGCTGTGAATCTCGAAATTTCACGAGGGATTTTGGACAATGATCATAATTCGAAAAATCCGAGAGAAAGGGAATATAAGCCAGACATAAGAGATGCAGGAAGAGATAAAAGAGAATAGAAGGATAGAAGTTGTCCGGGAGGAAATGCTAAGAGACGAGGGTGCGCCAACCAAAAGGCCACACCCTATCATTCAATACGCATACACGTGTTCAATTAGGCGAATCTAGTAATTTTCCTAGTTTGTTTACCGATAAAATTTATTTTTTTCTTTTTCCTTTTCTACATTTCTTATCATTTAATCGAATGAAATTCTTCTGGAATTTCGAATTTCGATAAATGAAAATGACTGTAATAACGAATTTTTTTAATTATTTATTCTTTTTCTTTCTCCCTTTTTTGCGTTTCTCACCATTTAATCAAATGAGTGTTCTAGAAATTATTTCAATAATTGAAAATAGCGGTATGTATAATAATGAAATTTTTCTCTCTATACTATTATTTAATGAAAATTATTGTTAATTATTATTTTAAATGAAATAATTCTTTATTTCTCGTTTTATCTCTACAGAAAATAAAATATGGATTAAAAGGAAAGAGAGAGGAATTGAAGAATAGCATGCAAAGTTGCGTGTACGTAGACATTTCGTCTAGACAATCGAAAATCAGTCTGTCTGCCACGAAAAATAATTCCTGGAATGAGTCATAGGCACTCTTATGTACTTTTGCAACCCTTCGCAAACAAAGACATCCAACATGCCTGATCCAACGATTCATCGTGGATATAAATTATACGAAGCGATATATTGTTCTAGGAATAATATAATTAAGTAAATTTTATTGTTACGTGAAAAGATTTGAGATTTTTTTCATTTTTTTTTTTTCTTTTCAAAATTTATGAGTGATATTTTTAGAAAATTCTTGTATTAAACATTTACAAAATTTACATCATTATATATATATATATATATATATATATATATTGCTTCAGAAATAAGTAGTTAAATTTTCAATATTATATATTACATTATATATATTATATTCTATTATTTAATAATATAATGGTATAAATATAGTTCAAGAAATAATTGAACTATTGTATTAACTATTGTATTTGCTTCTTTATCATATATTGATTTGTAGATATTCAATTATCATTAGAAATCAGTTTAAACTAACTATTCTGGTCGATCATCACAGTGTATCACATTGTATCTCATTTGTTTTGCAATTCTTTTGCAATGATTGTACTCTGAACATATATTATCTTTATATATAAATGTATGTATAACTTATTGTCGGTATAAGTATGAGAATGTGTATTGTATACCATATGTGTATCTCAATCTCGTCATAGGTTTAAAAGAACAAAGAAATTGTTCAGAGAAACTGGCAATGAATCGAACAGTAGTAAGGCTTATCTTTTAAATAGCCTCGAACGTTTAAAATTAAAAGTCCTTGCGCTAATGATTGATATTATTTTCGTTCGTGGTGAAGAGTGGCCTTTAATAAAGAAAAAACAAAACTTGAAATCACAGTAAGAGAAATTTCTGCATGATTCTTTATATATATATATATATATTAATGATATTCATTAATTTTTAACATTATAGTAACAATTAAATTATATTAGTTAAATTAAATTATATTAAATTCGATACAATATTATAAATTTTTTGGGATTATTTTTGCATTGTTAAATTTGAAATTATCAGTTTTAAATTGCTAAGTTATAAATTATTAATTTTTAATAATGAAAATTAAATTTATTTCAGATAATTATTTCTCGTTAAAAAATTTTTTGAATAATATATAAATTAAATAAATCTATTTTTTGATTTCTATAAGAAAATGAGAAAATATTGAAAACAATAAAAAAAGCAAAAAATGTAGACAATATTAAAAAAAGAAGAAGAAACATTTATGTGAAGTAGAATACAAAATGCGTAACAACATTTAATTAAAACTATAGTTAAGCGTTTCACATCTAAAGTGATAATGACGGAAGCCAGTAACCTAGTTGTTATAAATATCGTCGTAAATAGAAACCACTGTTCATTCACAGTCCAACAGCATGCTTGAAAATTTAAATACTTTCCATCCAGAATACAAATTATTTTTCAAAATAATTTTAAGAATCGCAAGATATTCAAATAGAATTGAACAAATTTTAACATTAATATTCATAAATATAAAACTTGCAATTTTCAAAATAATAAATGTAAAAAAAATCTAATTTATAAAAATATTGATAATTATCTTGTCATCTGATTTTTCAAAAATAAAAATTATTTTCAATTTTTCTTCAATTACAAAAAATATATAAAAATATTAATTTTCACGAATAATAGATATACAGAATTTAGAATAATACTCAATGTTTCTGACGAGAAATAATATCGTATTAATTGCCATTTAACCACCGTCTATGCGATGATTTCGAAATTCATTTCAAAACCACAAGTCCAATTTTCCAACCGCCATCAACCAACTACCAAACTGCATGACACGTTTTGGTGAAGAGAAACGTGAGTGAAACAGGCAACTAATTAGTAGACGATCCGTAGACGAGTAGGCAAGTTTGGTTGATGGGTTTTAACCAGATATTTGCCACTCAAAACCGATCGATTTCGATATTAGACTATTTCTTTTTTGTTATTATTATAATTAGATTAGGACAAATTATGAAAAATTGAAATTAAAAAAATTTATTGCTGAAATTGATTTGAAAATATAATATTAATTTGTTAGAAATAGTAGTAATTGAAAATGATTTAAATATTTATTACTTATTTCAAATTTAGCAGAAGGAATAATGATTGAAATAATTCCAAACAGAAATTATGATATTGTTTCATATATTAAATTCTGTTGTTTCTATTAAGTTTATGAAACAACATTATTTGAAATAATTGTTCCATTCTGTTCTATCTAAAATTACTGTTTCAAATTACCTGAAATAATTATTTCGTGTAATTATTCGAAATAATTGTGAAATAAATGATATATTATTTAAAGTAGTTAGTATTTCAAGTTAGTGTCGTTTTAAATGTGTCAAAATTTGATTAGAATAAACATTTGTTAATTTTTGAAACAAATTTTAAGATCAGACTTATTAATTAAAATAATAACATTAAAATTTTAATTAGAAAAAAGAAAAAAGAAAAATTCAACAAAAGTAGATTTATTCAATTTTCAAATATATGTTTAATTTAATAATTTACTTATCCTTGATTTCATGTTTAATTTAAATTTCTTAATTAATTCCGACATTGTCAACTTCCGATGGCCCTCGTACCATTCAACGAGACAACGAATAATAACCATCGACAAATATTTATTACATGTATAATAATCATATAATCGCTCAAAGAACACTCATAGTACCGTAAAAATAACTCATAGAATCGATTCGAGGAATTTGCATTACGGTCGTGGCTTTGTCTGTCGATATCCGCTGACTGGCTTCCGGTTACGCAAGACGTTTAGGGTTCCATCGAATGGCCAACGGAAAACGAAACGTGTCTGGAATAATATTGGTTGCGGGAGAATAACGTTAGTCTAAGAAAAAAAAAGAGAAAAAAAAAAGGATAATTCTATTTGGCCATCTTCACATACACACCCTTTTTCTTCCTTGGCTATTCTTATAACTCCTTTCGCAGAAGATACAGGATGCCGTTGGAATAAATGAAAATGATTTGGCAACTCGAAATTCTTTTTTCTTAATTTTTTTTTTTCTGTAGAGCTTAAAATATTTTTCAAGGAAACAAAATTTAATCTTTTATAACACTGTATAATTTGAAAATTAAATATTTATGTATAATCTGCATATATTTATGATTTAAATTACAATTAAAAATATAGAATATATAAATAATATAAAAATCAAAAAAATAAATATTTTTCTGGAATAAATGTTATATTCAAATTTTTCTGGCAAAATTTAAATGGCAACTAAAAATTTTAAGAAATGATCTGAAAGTTTATATTAATATTAATTTAATATTCATAATAATAATTAATTTAATAAATAAAGAATAAAAAACTTGAATTGTATAATAATAAAATTATGATTTTAAAATTAATTATATTAATAATTTATCTAAAAAAATATAAATATTAAATTTAATAATTAAATCAATAAATTAGATTAAATTTAGAAGTTAAAATTAATAAAAATAAGTATCAACAATTAAGATTAAAAATTTACAAATTAATTTATTTTAATAGATTAAAATAACATATATGAGGAACATTGGCACTAATAAAATTATTAAATATAAAATATCAAATAGAATCAAGTATAAATTACTCATCATAGTTAATTTCCAATGTGATGTCCACTGTGCACGATCCCCATGTTCGGGAGTTAATTACTATTTAACATGGTGCATGTATATCCAGCTGGTTTTAGCTAAGTTTGTCTCAGGATCAGAGTTATCCACTAGCCGCTAAAGGGATAGAAGGTTGGTTACTAGGTTAAAGCAAAATGGCCATGAGGATGGAAGGTTAGCAAGTAAAGAGGTAGAACATTACTCGCGAGAGAGATTTAGAGGGCTATAGACTGAATACAATGGACCAGCGTAGTGTCTTCCAGTTAACTGTCGCCTGCTCTTCAATTAACTCGAGTTTCGTCCAGTCTAATTACCTCCACGTTTAGTCGGATACTCTCTCTGTACGTTGAAAAGTGATCTCGTGGCTGGGAGATTTGCATTTTTATTATTCATAGGTTTCCTGTTAATATATTCGTATATAACACATTTGAAGAGTTGATTCTAGAAATTAAAATAAATAGAAAACTTGAATATAAAAAATATCAATTGAAGCTTATTAATTATAAATTTAAATAATAAAATAAATAATCATGGTTGTACAAATAGGAACCATTAGATTTAAAAATTTGGAAAACAAATTTTAAAAAGATCAAAAGTAAAAAATAATAAGAGTTTAGATGAGAATAGATAAGAATAGGTAAGAAATAGAAAAGAAATTTATTTTTCTTTTCGTGTCTTATCTTTACTCTTGAAAAAGACCAATGGAAGACAGTCAGCAAGGACGCTAGCATACCGGAAACCAGGTCAACGAGGTCAAGTGTCCAGTCGATCGTAGTGACCCTCGTTAAAAGATTTTAATTCGAGAAGCAGTTTGCTGATACATCATATGAAGAACGTGTTCAATTGCATTTCTAAAATTATATTTTCTTTTTTTTTCATACAATCCTTATATTTTATTTACAATCACGTTATCACAATTATGAATATAGAAATGGAAAGGAAAAGAAAATGAATAGAATAGAAACTGATCAACATAACAGAGAAAAATAAAAGAAAATAGATTAAAACGCCAAGAGAAAGTAATATGACTACAAAAGAAAAACTTTATGAGAGCTTGACAAAAGGTTAAGAGACGAAAACATAAAAAATAATTGAAAAAAAAAAGCAGAAAAATACTGAGTAAAATACGTAGATATATTTAAGTATCGCATGTTTAAATATGGAATTATTAAAAAAAGAAGAATATCGAAAATAAGTATAAAATAATAATCAATAATACTTACTCTAAATCTTTTTCAATAACAAATATAGATATTCTCAACATGCATCTATAAAATGAACCAATTAATAATAATTGAGCTTGCTACCTGAGGATAGATTGTTTGTAATTTTAATGCCAAATTAAATTATAAATTATAAAATTATGTTTCAATAAATCTTATATATAATATATTAATATTTAATATATTATGTATATTGAGTATATGTTTTTATACTAAACCACCAATCAGAAATCTTACATGATGATCGCGCCATAGGGACTTTTCTATTAGTTAATTGTTTTACTCTTCTAATAGATGGCCTTCTCTCCGATTTTTCTTGTTTTCTTCCAGTTCATATTTTAATCTTGAATAAACGGTTTTGTGTAATATCATGTGTACATATCTTTGCTTTTCATATTTATAATTTCATATTTATATATATCACAGTGTAAGAAATATTTCAAGATAGTTTTAAAATTTGTTTATAATTCATTCCTCTTTTCTCATGATAACCTTAAAATTTACATGTGTTCTTTCTCTTCACGATAACCTCAAAATTTGCACAATTCATATTCTTTCTTTTCACTTTTTCTTTACGTCACTGTTAAGTTAAAATAGATGAAGAAAGATATAAGAAACAGTGTGAAAACTACCCTCGGTTTTCTTGGTGAAATTGAATTCAGTACTTTGACGCTAGCTTACGCAAGAGTGATAACCTTATCCGCGGATGAAAAGGTATATGTGTTGGCAGTCGAAAGAGCAAGGTCATCGTCTTTTCTTCCGCAAGTTGTTTGTTGGCTGAATGTAAAGGGAAAAAGCCACGTAAAGGAAACTCGGTCATGGCTGTCGAAGACGATAGTATTGGTTGAGCCCGATGTAATTAGTAAGGCGGTGAAATAGTTGAACATACACATAATGATATGTTTGCAAAACAGATTGTGGTTATTGATATTAACCGGATTTGCAGTAATAAACATGTATTTCATGTTTCAAACTTCAAGTCTTTTTTCTCATTCTTTTTCTTTCATGCCTTCATTCACTTTCTTTCGAACTGTCTAGCTTTACAATAGAAAGGAAGAGTCATATATAAACGAGAATTGTGAATGCCCCTACGACAGAAAAGAGACGAAGATGAATGGAACGATTGTTTTTAAACGGTTCTGATGTTCCTTAGTTTATCTTTCCTTTTATGATTCCACCTTTATTCTTTGTTGGATAATTATTGTTATAATGCTTATTATGAATTTTAAAAAATAATTTTTAAAAACTGCATTATAATTTAAATTCTATAAAGCAAAACAATTTTTCAAAAAATTTATTTCTTAAGAATTAAATAATTATTTTGATATTTAACATTATTGAAAAATTAATTTTTACAATGAAAATCAAAAAATCTATTTCTATAATTTCTTTGGAATAATATCAAAGCGAATCTTGAAATTAATTAGAAAATCAAGATTAAACATTGTAATAATAGTTATTTCAACAAATAATCCCAGTCGGTTCAAAGTCAAAGATTTTCAAAAGAAGAATGATTTCTTTCATCAGCTCAAGATATTCACAAGGTGGCGTGCTTGTCGCGACGCCATCTATATTCTTAACAACGTGTCAGTTAGCCGCGAAACGTCAGATTTTCAAGCAAGAAAACTAGTGATTATGATAGTGACAAAAAAGGAAAAAGAAGAAAAAGGAGGAAGGTTTGACGTCGCCTGGGAAACCATTTCTTATTTCGATCTCTCGAGTGTTTCCCTTCTTTCTTTTTCATCCCAATCCTTTGACAACTCGTGCGAATGCGATATCTTTGTTACAAATACGCCAAAGTTTCGAGCATCTAAGCGGCCATAATTGTAATCCAACGCAGCTTCTCCTCTTTTCAAACGTACCTTTGTAGGATTCCGAGAATCCTCTCGACAGATTCACCAGTGAGGTTTGAATGCTTCGTCGCCATTTTAATAATCCCAATTTTTATGCATTGACGCGATTCAGAGGTGGAAATATCAAAGAACTATAATTTTTTCTTTTTTTATAATTTTTTTTTCTTTTTTTTTTTTTTTTTTTTTGATGGAATTTATTAAAGTTAGATGAATTAAAATTATGACTGATCTAGAATATTCAAGTATATTAAAATTATGAAATTATAATTTTTTTTTTTTTGAAGATGAAATAAATAAGAATTAGATGTAATCTAGGATCTTGTAGTAAGAAAAAAATCTCTTTTTTACAACTTTTTTTATTTATTACATGTAATATACTTAAAAAAAAAGTTACATCGTGTAATATAAGAATGCAAATTTGTATCTGTCTCACATTTATTAGAAAATGATAAATATTTTATTTATTAAAACAATAATGAATCAAATTATCTTGAATTTTATAAATAACCATTATTTTAATTTTTGATGCAAATCTAAATTTAAAAATAATTTATCAACTCAATAATTATTATAATTATTATTTCTCAATCAATTCTCATTTTTTTTAAATATTAATAATTTCATAAGTAAATCTAAATTTTCGTTATGGATTTATTTCAAAATCGTCGATTACCAAATACAGAGTTACCAAGAATTTTCTATCATTTTCATCGTTCTCATTTCCAAACATGGATTTAATAAAATGTATGGAATACATGTTATACGCTCCTTGACACAAATCGAACAAGGATAAAACTATTCAGGAACGCTAGGATCGACCGAAAAATATCTTTGCCAGATGACATTCCACGATACATATTATCCTCCTTAAATGGTACTGCAACCACTGACGTAGCCATGTTTAACCGGTTCCCAAAGTAAATTGAAAGATTCAGAGTACAATGCCAAATAGATATCACTTATTCAGTTGTTTCCTATATATGGATTAATGAGTTCAGTTACACTTTATTCTACTTTTATTTACTTTATTTGAAACACATTATTACTACTAAATTATATATAAATTTTTGTAATTGTTATTTCTTAAAGTTTAATTAAAAATATTTTAATTAAAATTTAAGAAAGACAATTTAAATTATTTATTTTTAATTTTCTAATTTTAATATTTCAGATGTTAGAAAAAAAATAATTGTTTGTTAAATTGAATATTTGAAACTTTTTTTGATCATCAAAAAAATTTTAAAAAAGATATTGAAAAATAAAAATTTGCCAATGATGGAATAAGGATTTGAAACAATGCTGGAAGTTTTATGATCCTCTTTTGTAATATTCAAATTATATACTTTTTTAATATAAATAATATTATTCTTTGATTAATAAGAGAATGATTTTAGATAGAACATGATAATTATGTAATTATAATAAAATAAATACTAAAGATTATCAACTAAAAATAACAATAACGATTACTAAGAAGATTGAGATCCATAGTCTGAAAACCACTGTTAGTACATAAGAGACACTTGACCCTAGTTATACGTGTTAATCTTTCAATACCTCATAGCGATTAAAAAAACACTGATACAATACATTAACCATACATTTTATATCTAAACTTTCTGACAGTTGAACTTTTGATTTTAGGAATATATTTTTTAAATATAAAATTGATAATAAATACATAAAATAAATCCAATTAGATTTGAAAATATTTTAAAATCTGTGACGCCTCATTCATTTTAAGTGAAGAAAATCGTTAAAGAAAAAGTGATATATTTTTTCTTCTTCATCTAATTTATTTCTTTTACTGAAATATCTTTATTTCGAAGAAACTGAATGAATCCTGTTTATAGATCGCGTTTCGGTATAACGCAATCTTCTTTAAAGTCTCGCCTCCTCTTCTCGTCAATCATATTTTTCCCTTCATAACTGTATCACGAGAAAAATCTTCCATTTTCTTGACGAAAAGAGAAAGAGGATACGCATGAGAAAGTTAACGCGATAAACATTTCAATCTTGTTTCATTTCATTGATACATCAAACATTATTCACGATTGAAGATATGTATATATATATATTATATGTATATGTATATGTACATATGTATATTCCATATGTATATGTATATGGAAAAAAATATATTCTTAATAAATTAAAAAAAATATATTCTTAATAAAAAAATTTATTCTTAATATAATTCAATTATAATAAAATTCTTCAAATTTCAAGTGATTCTCAAATGATATCGAACAGAAAATAAATTGACAAAAAGAACAAAGAACGCACATTCACATTTTGCATTATATTAGATTACATCGATGCAGAATCATTATTTTATATTTGTAGGTTATGGAAAATACGAAATTTCGTGTCTCGTCGAGCAAACGAAATAATAAATTTCAGAAAGAATCAAAACTAGAATTTATAATCACTCCAGGATTGTGGACTTGTCTCCCAAAGTAAAGTGTGCATAGCATGTCTGTCTTCTGCAGCAAATTTATGCGAGGTGGGTACATAATTCAAGAAACTATTCGAGACCACCTAGCTATCTCGTTGAGCTCTTGCGAAAGTTTTCGTAAAATTGAATTTGCCCATTATTGCAATTTTTTAAATTTCTTTTATTGATTGTTTTATACTTTAAATTTTTTATAAAATATTCCCTTAACGTGTTATTTAATATTATATTAGATATTAAAAATTTTTGAGGTTATGTTAGAAGAAATAATTATTTTGATTTAATATATATCTTCAATATGATTTTGCTGATATAAAACTAGATATTATAAACAATATCGAAATTATACCAATATTAATCCTAATTTTAAACTTGATTCACTTTATTAAAAAATAGATCTCTATCTTCAATTCAATTACATATTGTAACAATTTTCTATGTAGCGACGGTATGTTCCTCTTCTAGTGAACTATCACGTTAATGCTTCTAGTTATCTTCTATCTCACAATCACGTCCTGATAAAACCGTAGATTTACTAGACTTAAAATTCTCTTCTCTGAATTGGATCATTTTCTCAAGATACCATATAAAATTTGATAACAATTATTTTTATTAGAAGAATTTAAAGAATACTATAAAGTACTAGAAACTATAAAAATAAAAATCAAAAAAAAAATATATATATATATTTTCATTAAAACAATAAAGTCTATCTAAATTATCATTTTCATTACTGTTTAATCTAATACAAAATTTCACACAATATCTTTATCATCTTTAAATATTTAAAACATTATACAAAATAATGCTTTTTGTCAATTTAATATTACAAATCAAAAGAAATGAAAATAATTTCATCGATGATTCGTGCATTGTATTTTTTCATTTGTATTGTACGCTTGTATTTTATCATTTTGTTTTCTTTTTTTGTTTCAGCAAAATTATCTCATGAAATTCGGATATCTACCCCAGTCGGATCTAGAGACCGGAAACCTTAGAACGGACGATCAGCTTACGGACGCCATTAAAAATTTACAGGTGAATGAGATATTTTGAGGATGTTTTCGAAGCTAGAAATTCTGCTATCCTTTTGTGAATCGAGCACAAAATGAAATTGCGGAAGCATGAAAAAATTAAATGAAATAACCTTCTCATATTTGTCTATGTCTTATCATTTTATTTATTTAGTTTTTCCTAAAAAAAAAAAAAATATATTCTATTATTTGAAAAATACAGTTATCTATGACACGTTAAATAATAACTTTTATATTACACGTTTTTTTTATATTATCTATTTATGAATAAAAGAAGAATTAAAATACAAAAAATGGTATCTATATCATTTCATTCTATATCATAATGATAATAAATAATAAATGATAAGAAATTTGTGTTAAATATATTTAATGGTGTGATAAGGTACTTACATAGAACCATCTATAAAAGTGTTTAGATATTATATATCATATTATAGATAAGTAAGAGTAATATTTAATAATTTTATTATATTAATATATTATTTCTTAATTTAGAATAATAATAAAGCAATTTTTAGTGTTTTTACAATTAATATTATAATAAAATCTTGTACAATTTTATTTTAATACAAATAACTTTTTCAACTTATACAATATTAAATCAAACTAAATTTTTATTAAAAAAATAGGAATATTTTAAAACCTTTGAATAATAAGAATTTAGAATTTAGAAACTGCAAAAATTAATTTCAAAACCTAATTCCAAAATAAAAGATTCAAGAAAACGATATTTACGTGGCAAATGTCCACTGAAATTTTGATCACACTACAAAACTTTGATCCCCGTGGATTCGATTGTCGAAACCGTTTGAGTGGAATCGTGTTCCTGTTTCGTTTGGATGATCCCACCGATCAATCCTTCGGAACAGTGTATCCTTTAGTCGATGGTCGAAATAAAGAGAAAAAAGAGAGAGAGAATAGAAAACGAAGATAAATCTACAATTGAGGGAAAACGACGTATTGTTCGTCTGACAAGAATTTACATGAAAATCGACCTCGTTAAACGCATAAACGGAAGCTGTAGTTGCTTTGATTCTTCCGATAATACGTAAGCTTTAATTTCTTATATGAAAAATAATTTCAACGTTTTCCACAATGTTCTTTTAATGTAATATTTTGTAGTATTTTTATTAGCTAAATAAATTAAATAAATGAACAATAAATATATTTATTGTTCGGTATTGTCGATAACAAATTTTAATTTTTTTTATCTTTTTTTATAGAAAAGAAGATGTTTCTATCATTAGTAATTCATGAAAAGGAATTTCTTTACTTTATTATATTTTTTTTTATAATTTATATAAGACACAGATTATTATAAATGGATGTCTAGTAAAAAAAAAAGAATAAATAAAAGCTAGTGATTTATGAATATCATTAAAAACAAAAAATTCTACTAGTAACATTATACTACTAGTAAGTACAATACAATAAACTAATAAATTTTTAAATAATAATCCATAATAATTTATAAAAATAATAATATATATAAAATAATAATAACTTACAAAAAAAAAACCAAACTAAACATGCAGCAATAGTCTTTACTGTTACTTAAATACAAAAAAAAAAAATAAATATTTTAAAATTAATAAAGAAAACTTAAACAAAGAAGAAAGAAAAGTTAAGTATCGATCCCCAAGACCGAAGTGAAATACTTTCGAAATAACTGCTAGTATCGGTATAACATTGGGTCCTATAATGTTAAGAGAATTTTCGTGCAATAGGAAGGAACTCGATAAAGGAGGAAATTATGTATTCCAGGGTGGAAAAGATGGTTGTTCCTTGTCACGAATAAAAATAAAACGGGTTCCCTATCCCTGAAACCCGCCCTCCTTTGAAAGTTCGAGTGCTCTTTCCCAGTGGAGAACGGCAAGTCAGAAAGAACGGTTGAGTTATCGCGTCCTGTTCAACTACGGGAAAAGAACTTTTCCACAGGGTTGGTGAGGCTTCGCGCCACTGGATAAAAGTACGATCTCGTACAAGTTTTCACAGAGAGCAAACTACTATTTTTTCCTTTTTTTTTTCTTAGGCAAACATTTACTTCAGATTCGCTTTTTTTTAAAATATAAAAGTATTCTATCATTTTTTTATTATCATTATTGTAAAGTATGCAAAGAGAAATCTATTTTTATATAAAATTGATTTTATACAATTCATTGATCATTGCTTGGAATTATAATGAGAATTTGTTCATGATCTGTGAAAAAGATAATTTTTGTGTTTCCATAAATTAGAGAACTTTTTTGAAATGAATAAAAATTAGTTTTTGAATTGCTGCTTAAAGATGATGAGGAATGTCAACAAGTGAGTAATTTTATTTTTCGATGGTGATATTTATATTTTTATATTGCAATAAATGGTAAGGAATAGTTTAGTTAATTAGTTTATAAATGAATTTTTGCATGCAGAATACATTGAGTATAATTTTATGTTAAAAATACGTATATATAGTAGATATTAGTAATTTGAAAATTTGGAGAAAAAAAATACAAAATGTTTGGGAAATAATTAAAACAAGAATTGTTTAAAACATATATATATTTAACACTTCCCTTTAAAAATAAATATTTTGTGTTAAAATGAAAAACAGATAAATAAATAAAATATAATTAGTTTATAAATAGATAAATCTGAAACGAAAAAAATATTTATACGTTTTCATTTTAACTCTAATGAATATTAACCTATTTTTTTTAATGCACTCTATTCAATATGCACCTTTTTAAATAATTGTTATTAACATATTAAAACTTACTTAAATATCTTTAGTTTTTATGAATGTTCCACGAAATATGATTATATTGTAAACATTGACATGTTATAATTAGAAAATAAAAATTTTATTTTATCCTATATTATTTTTTCCATTAGAGATTCGGTGGCATTCCTGTAACTGGTGATATCGACGAAGCTACTATGAAATTAATGAGGCTTCCGCGGTGCGGACTTCCGGATAAAGTAGATCCTAGATATACTAGAGTCAGGCATAAACGGTACACGATCCATGGGCAACAATGGCCACATCGGAATCTCACTTGGAGGTAAGTTGATATTTCTTTCAAAATTTATAAAAATTGAAAATTATAACCTATTTAATAAATCTATTTATTTATTAGATACCATACCTCTTAAAATAAAAAAATTTTTCTCAATAAGCATAATAATATAGATATATATATATATATTTCAAACATGATATTATATTTATGTGAAGAAAATATATATTAGCATGAAATTAAATCAGATCCATATAAAAGATTTCTTCAAATTAAATAAGAGTTTATAAGGTTAAGTTAAATTGTACTTTCTAAATAAATTCCATCTAGTCAAATCTGTATATGTCAGTTGCTCTAACTGAAAAGCAGATGTGTCAGCAGAAACCAGTTCCAGGATAATGATTCTGTGCACGTGTAGCAATTATTCGTTGAAGATTCTCTAATTGCCATCCTGTATTGCACAAGTCTCTGAGATTTCTCCGCGAATAAAATTTTCCTCCAACGCATCGTTGTCTGGAAAAGCCATTGACATTGTTGGTCTTCAGCCAATGGAAAATTTCTGCTTGTAAGTGATTCCCTCTTTATTGACGAACGTGTTCTTTCTTTCTGTTCTTTGTAGAAAACGATTGCAATCATGCGAATGATTGTAAAAGTCGCATTGATTTTGCATTTCGAGCAAAAAGAATTGCTAAACTCATTTTTCTCGAAGCTTCTCTTTGTGTCTGTCTTTTATCTTCATCCTTCAATATAAATCAGCTGAATTTTCAATAACCGGTGATTGTTCATTCAATCTGAACAGGAGTTGGACAAAATTGAACGATTTTATAGATTGTCTTTTCTGATTTTTGGTGGCAGGTTTGAGAAAAATTATAAATATATCTGTGCAATTTTGAGGAAATTTTGATTATAATATTCAAAAAGAATTTTATTTTTCGAATAATTTTCATAAAGATAGTCCATAAAATCCAAAAATTTGAAAAAAGAAAAAAAAGTTAGGTTAGAGTTTCATTATCTCAAAGAAGTTATTCCAAATTCTTAGCCAATAAGACATGTTTATATAAATACATTATTATTTGTCATTGTTAAAATATAGTTGATGACATTCGAGTGATTGTCAAGATACACTATTTTAGTAATTATATAATAGTTTATACATAGTTAAGATATACGTTATTCCGTTCACGCAGAATTCACTATTAAAATCAAAAGAGTACATTGACTCATGCTAGATGGCGTTGAGTAAAGTGCAAAGAAAATATTTCGAGGCGTGTTAACTGGAAAGCAAACGATTTCAAATTGAATTTATTTGCCATCGCGATAATTGGACGTGTCACGTAAAAGAGAACCAATACGTACGAATCATGTTATCCGATCAGATGACAAAAGAGAGAGGGTAAAAAAAATGTAATTGAAGGGAGACAAGTCGGGGTACGGTTAATTCAATTATCTTGGACTCGTTACTATCCTGCCGTCTGGGGAAACATGGAGAGAAGTCAAGGCTACGAACATTTCGGCGAATGTAACAGTTCAATCGAAAAAAGAAAAAGAGAAAGATTTAATAAAAAAGAAGCTCAAGATAGAAAAGATCATTTGCATTTATATCTTTATTGACTTATTGAAATTCGTTGATATGGTTCTAAAGAAAATGAAGAACTAATAGATAATATCAATGTTCGTAATATAAAGAAAATGAATTTTCAAATAAATTACAAAAAATAATTTTAAATTATATTTTATAATTTAATTAAAAAGAAATATATATATAAATATATAATTCAAGAGAGAAGAAAGAATTATTCTTTTTTTTTATAATAAAATATGGTTTATAAACTATTTTATTATAAATTACAAATTTCTCAATTAAAATTTATTTGCAAAATAATTTTTTTACCGTAGAATATATATGGAAAATTATTTCAGTTGATACTGTAGTTTTCTAGTGCGTCCATTATCCATTGTCGGTATTACGACTTCTGCGATACCGATTACGCAGTATCGTAGCATAATGCTGTGGCGCCCCCTGAGGGAAATATTGTATTTGAACATTAGATATTAAGTGCGCAACGAATACCTGTATCATAAATTCTTCATATCAGTTGTTATAGAATTAGTTACAGATTTAATAGAATATAAGTAACGCTTAAAATGTTTGGAGAATGTTGTGTTAGCTGCAAATGAATTTTTAGCGCGTGTCCGGCGTAATAATCGAGGTAGGATATAAATAATACAAGGTTCGTTAGTATTTAGGGGTTCTAATTAGCGAGCGCAAGGGGTGAGCCATCGTTCACCTTAATTGCACGCCTTAACGACCAGACCCAGCCGCATGGTGTGTCGCACGAAAATTTCGCGGTAATTTCGTCGGGATGTCGAGCACGATGATAGTCCTCGAAAATTTAAGGTCCCCTTTCTAACGAGAAGAAGAGAGTTAATCAACGCTTGTCAATAAAACGACGTAGTGAAATGGTTAGATTCGTTAGATAGCTCTGCAAACAGCATTTTAATAGCTAAAGGAAACGCATAATTATATAACACATAATAAAAATACTTACTTTTGACATATGAGGTTATACAAATTATATTCGCTTTCGATGATTTTTTTATGTTTTAGAACATAAATACATTATATATTTATACATTTTTTTCATTATTAAATTTCCCATAAATACATAACCATTCATTTGACTTGTAAAATTTTACCAATATAACATTAATTGTTTCAGTCGTGGTAGAGGGCGCCAGATGTCTGTATTCCCGATATAATAAGCTAATGAGAAAAAGACACACGCTATAGTGCTATAATAATCAACAACTGTTCCTTATTACCGATGTTAATTCTATATTTTAAAAAATGAAATAATATTAAAAATAGGATATATTTTTGAAGAAAAAAAATCATCTCGAAGTGATGAAAAATCTGGAATGAAAAATCGGGGCAACAAGGTTTTCCACTGTAAAACGGGTTCCTGCTAATTTCGAAAGGTAGCGAGGAATGAAAAAAGTTCGAGCATCGTTCAAAGTGTAGCGAGAAGCTTGCTCGTTCCAGAAGACGCGAAAGAACCTTGTAGCGACCCTCTTACCCCTCATCCATGAACCACCTCTCGTTTTCTTTCTTCATGCTCACGCGACGGCCAAAACGCGATCTTGAATATTAAGCCGGCAAGGCTTAATCTCTCCTAGTAATTTAGGTCAGTATCTATTAATTTTTTTCGTCATATTCGTGAATTTCCAAACATGATACAATATTTCGATACGTTAAAATATTAAAATATTTATCGATAAATCAAAAATTGAACGAATATTCATTTTGTTATAAATTTTTAAAAAATTTGAATTTATATAATATTTTATAAATAATTGTAATTCTTTTATGAAAACAATATTATGATATTCAAAATATAATATCTAAAGTTTAAAAAAAAGAGAATAGATTGAGTAGAATTTTTAAAATATAATTCCATCTATAAATCTTATTGATATCAATTTATAATAATTATCTTGAAATTGTCAAGTTAGGTTAATTAGACTTGATAATTTGTTCAAGAAGAGTTTACTATGATGAAGTAAAGGGAATAATGGAGGGCGTAAGATAAGAGCAAGTATTATTATAATACTTTTCCAATACTTTTCTCAAGTTCAAATTTCAAGTTTCTTAAGTTTATATTAAACATAATATTATTACATTTAGATTTTCTAAATTCATATTAATTAGGAAAATTATGAATTTAATACAAATATAATTTTCGCATATTATCTTATTTATTATTATTATATTATTTTTTTAAATAATATATTTTTTTGAATTTTAATTCTGAATTGTTAGAATAACATATAGTTAAAAAAATAGCAAATTGTCTATATTGTTTAAACAATTTATTTATTAAAATTTTACTTGACAAATAATTTTAACAATCAAGAATCAAAATTAATAAATGAACAAATAATCATATAAATTACAATAAATTAATATAAATTATAAATTTATTTATAATATATATATACATTTATTTTTGAATTGGTTGAAAACATTTGCATCGATCGTAACTTTAATCAAACAATATTTCCTATATTTGTCAATACAAATAACGATATATCAATGCAACATGATATATTAATACTATTATTTGATTTTTCATTTAACATTTGAAATTCAATGAAAATTTTAATATTATCGATTTCTCTTTGTTTCGTATAATTAAATTTATTTTCAAACATCATTTTCGTTCAATCGCAATTATTATATTAAAAATAACTGTTTAATTTTTATAATAAAAAAAAGTGAGAAATCAATAAAAAAAATTAAATCGAGATTACAAAATATTTAAATTTTTCGTGTTAAAACTTCTCGTAAACGCTGATGGGTTAATTTAATGATTCTCTCGATTTCCATGGTGTAACGAAGTCACGATCAAAGAAACGAGGATTTCTGATTGAATTTCTTTGCCATTACGGCGATCGACGATTGCCTCGTTAGGTTAATGGATACATTAAATGTTAACGCAATATTCAGAAATAATTTTCGAATAATTGTGTCTGAACGCCATCATAGTGGATTTCAATTAATCGAAAAGTCAAATACTTTGATACTAAATAAGCTAATACGATATATTGAAATTCTCAACATTTATCCACTTTCACCGGATGAACGAAATTAATTTATTATAAAAAAAATTTTTCATATTTTACATCTCATGATAATCCAATAATCGCATTATATTAATTTATTTCAGAGTCTCAATTTTTAAAATTATTTTCTCACTGGTATTACTTGAAGATATTGAATAAGGGAACCAAGGTTTTACCAATCTTGCGGTTCAATGAGGCTTCGTGTACTGATCAATTTCATCCTAAAGTTTCTTATTTCAAGGGTGGTTAACCTTCTCTGTATTAGTGTGCTCTTGTATACAGACTATCGCCATTATTTTGCGATTCTTATTTAGAAAAAAAAAGAATCTTTTTAAATTTCTCGAAATAAAAAAGGAGTCTATAATCTATAATTAATATTACTAGCTAGTGAATTATTCTGCTGTCAGATGGCTCTGCAGTTG